TTAAGCAAAGACCGCATTGAAACAGCAGATTATTGAACAGCATATCTTCTGAAAACCAAACAAACTACTCATTATTACTATAGATAAGAAAGTGCAACGCTACTGAGCTTGTGAGAGATTTTGAAGCGCATTATCACAACAGTCACAAACAAGCTATGATAATGAAGTGATTGCAGCAATCAGGGCAAATAACCACATAAGAAAAGAAATATAGCAAGGAAGAAATAATGGCGTCGATTGAAGTTTAATGCAGCATTAAAAGACAGCAACTGATATGAACCTGAAGAGTGAAGCGCAATTGCCTCTCAAGAAGTTTGCGACGAAACCGTTTGGCGCATCTGAAACCAAGGATGAAGATTAGTGTTATGCAGTGGGAACGGAGTAAATGAAAATCATGCTGCTGAATCGTCGAGGTCCATCGCGACGATGGGAGAAAAGAAACGAAAGAAATAGAAACAGATGGAACATGAAAATTCGAAATGGTTTTGAGAAGTGAAAATGATAAAAATGTGAGCATTCGAGTGCGCCTTGGCGGGGATATTTCCCGGCACCGGGCAGTATGATTGGCTTTTTATAAATCTTTTCTTTCTTTTAAATTAATTAAGGTTCATGGTCTAAAAGAACTCATAAGCTTGTAATAAAAGTGTACCTACCACTATAATTTTTTAGTACAAAAATACTTATAAACTTGTAAAATCAGAATAAAAATAACACTACAGTTAAATTTGACTAGCGACAATTACTTTTGCAGTGAGGCTTATGCTAGTGTTATGAAAGCACCAAAATGCCATTAACTCAGGAAAAAGAAAAAAAAAAGGCAAAGATACAAAAAATACTTATAAACTTTTAGTTAAAATTCAACAAATACCATGAGTTTTTTTTCTCAAGTAAAAAGTACCATTTACCATGCAAATAAATTAATACTTTCAGTTTTAGTAACAAAAAAAAACTCTATTAAATTTTATTATACTATTATAATACTAATAATTTTGTGGTTAATATATATGTTTGGTCTTCTAAATTTACATCAAGTTTTAATTTAACCCCTTAAATTTGTAAAGTGTATTTTTTTTCCCCTTAATGTTAACCTTGTTAGTTTCTTTAATTTAAAATTTGTAAATTGAAAAATATTTTAAAAAAAACTAACAAAGATGTGGTTTGATTTTAACACCAACAACCCATCTTTCAATACTCCTCTAGTCCTTAATATAAGACCCAATTATTGAGTTGGTTTTTGTCCTAAATATAAGACCCATTTCTTATATTTATCAATTTTCTCTAAATTACCCTTATGGATACTCCATCAACCATAATCAAGTAAAAGAGGGAGATGGGATATTAAAAAAGATGATTATGGTATTTTAGGGAAAACATGTCATATTTCTTATAATTAACTAACTTACCTAACTTCCTTAATATAATCAAATTAGTTAAATGGGTCTTATATTAAAGACCAGAGGAGTATATAGAAACATTAATGGACTAAAAATAAATTTTATAATTTAAAGAAATTAAATTAAAACTCGACGCAAATTTATAGGTCTTAAAGTATAATAGTATAATACTTTTAAAAAAATAAAATAATCAATTTATGTTCACATTCATGACACTTTTAGTGTCAGTGGTTAAATTCATTAAGTCAGTATTTTTTTCTTAATAAGGCCAATAGTGTTAATATTCATTACTGAAAATATATTTTATATATTTGAGAAACTGAATTAAAACTTCCTGAATTTAGAGAACCAAATGTACACATTAATCATAAAATTATTAGTATTATACTAGTATGATAAAACTTAATAGATTTTTTTTTGGCTAAAACTTAAAGAATTAATTTATTTGCATGGTCATTGGTATTTTTGCACTTGTTAAAATAAAAAGTATTTGATGTACTTTGGCTAAAAATTTATAGATATTTTTGCACCTTCGTCCTTTTTTTGTTTCTTTTAATTAGGGACATTTTAGTACTTTCATAATATTAGCATGACTCCCCTGTAAAAAGTAACGGTCATTAGTCAAATTTAAAGGAAATGTCATTTTTGCTCTAATTTTATAAATTTATGAGTATTTTTGCATTTCAAAAGAAGGTTACGGTGATGGATGCACTTTTGATATAAGTTTATAAGTATTTTTGTAGTTTGACTAGAGCTGTCAATAAGGGCTAGCCCTTGAAGGGCCAATGCCTAAAAAGGTCAGCCTTTTAAAGCCTACATATCTTAAAATTATCTAATTATTAAAACCCGGCCCTTGGACAAGCGGGCTCATGGCTTAAAGGGCTAGCCCTTTTATGTTATTTTTTAAAATTTAAATTCTTTTTAATTATTTTAAAACAGAAAATAAAATAACAAAACTTCTAAGATTTTTTATTCAAATTATAAATATAAGTAAAATAAATTAGTGGTGTATAGGAAAAAAAATTAAATGCCAACAAACTATTGTCCAAAATAAATAAAAAATCAAAATCTAACAAAACACGAGAAACAGAAAGATAAAAACCTAGCAGTTAAAGATTAACAATATCAACATCATTATTATCTTTATATTCATCTTCATTGGTATCATCAAGATCATCAATATTTGATTGTTCTTTACTACAAGTGAGCTCTTTTTTAGTGATAAAAATATTAAGTTTTTTTTGTCTTCATTTACCTTATCTAAAATAAAACTATGCAGTAATTATAAGTACAAATAAGAGTCTGAACATTTGTTCGAATAAGAAAAGTTTTACACTTTGTTAAGATATGTAAACCGATGGTAAATGAAGATCTACTAGCTATTATGATGATTAAAATGTTAAGAATATCAGCTACCATTCTTGAAAGAATTGAAAATTAATTTTAATTATTCTTCCACAAATCCAATACATCTAATTCTTTTCAATTATCTAGCGTAAGTATTGATTCTTCTAAGTATTTTTCTAATTTAAACTTATTCATAAAAGACTAATCTATAACTTTATAAATATATTGATAATAATTTAAAAAATAAGTGGGCTTAAAAGGGCTAGCCCTTGACCCTAAAGGGTTGGCCCTTTTATTTTTGAGTCATATAGAGCTAGTCCTTTTAAACCCAATTTTCTTTTAAACCACCTAAAATATAAGCTTGGCCCTCCACTTAAAAGGGCTGACCCGATGGGCTTGGCCCGTTTTGACGGCTTTAAGTTTGACCCATTAATTAACTCTCTTTTTAAAAATAATTGAAAATTAATTCCCAAAGATTCGTCGGAGATATAGACTCCTGCCTTCCTGCCTCGGATGCACAGTGAGGTAGCTAGCCACCTCTCATCTCCTGCCATGCTCTATAAATATGTCGTTACTGTTCATATGGTCGTTCCGCTTGGGAGCGCAAACCAGCAGGTTCTGCTTATACCTAGAGTGGCCTCGTGATCCCCCCCCGGAACCTTTGTGCTGCACAAAAGGACAAGCGAAGGGGCATAAAGTGTCGGTTTGTTAACGATATAAAAGGATCGGGGATGTTCATTCGTTGGGATAGATTGGATTCTCCACTCGCTCGTTTGATATGGTATGATATGACATGAATCATCTTTACTGGCACTCACCGCATGAAAAGTTTCTTTTAAAGAAAAGAACATAGCAAGAGATATTTTTATGGTATTAATATATAACAAAACACAAGTTTTATTGGAAGAAGTCAAAAATATTTTCTTCTGACAGAGATTGCAACAATATGCAATCCAGACAATTCAAAATCTAATATAGATAATTTAAATTTAAAATTTTTAATATATAAGATTATTTTTATTTTAAATTATTTATTTATTAAAATAAAAAATTATTTAAAATGTATAAAAAAAATTTGAGTTCAAGACCATCCAAAATTGATTTGAATAGTCTAAATTGCCATAAACACTCCATGCTTATTATTGTGATGAGCATAAAATGTGCTCCTTTATTTTTCTTTTTCTTTTTCTTTTTAATTTCCTACCTATACTAAAATGACTCCTCAATAAATAAATAGTAGTAAATAGCTTTTTGCTCCATTACATGTGGATATGTTCCAAAAACATTTAATCTTGGGAGAATTATTATTTAAACAATGCAAATTTATAAGCAAAAAATGGGTATTTCCAATTATAATTAGCGGTCTTTAAAAATAAATAATTGATAAATTTTGTCCTTGAGAATAATCCTTTCCGTTGATTATTCATTCACACGCAGCTCGCACTTTAAACCAGATTTTTTTTTTGGGGTTAGAATGATTCTCAAGTTAAAATAAAACAATTTATTTATCAAACTCTGTGTGACGCATGGGTAGACATGTCTGGTTTTAATTCAAATTACTCTCTTTTTTCAATACAAAAGGCAAGTGAAACTGGGATCTGAATATTAAAGTTAGAGGCCTAGGGCAACCCATAAGGCTAAAAAAAACGCTAGCATTAATATTCATACTTTGCCCACCAAATCACAACCATTTTACTTGCTTCGTTAGTTTATAAAAATGTTTATGCGTGCGTTGGATTAAACTAGGCTGAAGAAGGAATACTGCTAAATGAACCAGAAACAACCTAGCCAGCTCATACGCGCGGGGTGGGATTGGGTTCATAGCTTGGAAATATTTGATGGCCTACATCAAATAATATGTAAATTAGATGTCAGGCATATTTATAAAGTATTAAAAAGGTATTAGCATAAAAAAATGACACTCTTTAATATCGGTAATAATATATTTTTTAATAATATGATTATATAACCATTAAAAAAAAAGCCAAAAAAATGAATGGAGATGCTAAAAAAATTGAACGCTAGCAGTGACACGACAAGGGGGGCTATGGTCGTGATGAATTTGAGGTTGGGGAGCAAGACCGGCGAAGGCGCGTGAAAAGCGGCGACATTCGATGCCTTTTGGAACACTTGTCAAAAAATCAAGGTTTCCACTTGGTCCACGTGGACCCCCCCGGGGGGAAATCTTATTATAATAACACGAAACGGAGCAGAAAGCAGAAGCAGGAGGAAGAGGACGAGGAAGAAGAAGACGAAGAAAAAGATGGGAAACGCAAAGGTGTTGCTGGTGATGTTGGTGATTGCAGTGAGCACAGGAACGTGCAGGTGTGGAGTTGAAGAGGTAGCAGACGCAGCCCAACAGAAAGCAGAGGAGGCCCAGCAGGCGGCCCCAGCCGTTGTCGAGGATGCCAAGGAAACCACCGAGACATGGGCTAATTGGGCTTATGACAAGTTCTCCGAGTAATTTCTCATTTTTATATCCTCTAATCAAACCCCTCTTAGTACCCAAAAAAAAAAAAAAAATCTAACACCCCTTACTAAGACCTTTTTGTTCTGCTTCACAAGTATTCATCATGCGGATTCATCATGAGTTACTCATTTTAGGCGAAACTGCATGACTTTGTTTATTGATTCACAAATCGTTCTTGTGCCAGAACTATCGGCTTGAAGAAGGAGGAAGGAGATCAAGAAGTGGCTCAAACCCAGAAAATTTCAACCGATGATACTACAAACAAGATCCAAGGTAATTAATCGGGGGTTTTCTCATCCATTGTAATTCCAGCAACATTCTAGAATGTCAGATAAGACACACACACACACACACACAGCTGAACGGACAATGAAAGAGAGAACAAGATTAATGGCAGAAGAGATTAATGTCTGTGTGCATTCTTTCTTCCACAGACGCAGCGACCGAAGCCTACAACAAAGCTGGTGAGCAGATGCAGACGGCGAAGGCGAAAGCTTCAGAAATGGCGCAAAATGCCAAGGAACAAGCAACCAATGTGATGGACAAGGCATCCGAAACGGCTTCTGACGCAAAAGAAGGCGTCAAAGGCAAAGTATCACGGGCTACAGAAAACGTGGGTGAGGCAGCCAAGATGGCCAAGGACACCGTCATTGAAAAGGCCCAATCTGCGGATGTAAAAGCCAAAGTATCACAGGCTACAGAAAACGCCGGTGAAGCAGCCAAGGCGGTCAAGGACACCGTCATTGAAAAGGCCGGATCTGCGGACGTGAAAGGCAAAGTATCACGGGCTACAGAAAACGCCGGTGAGGCAGCCAAGGTGGTCAAGGACACCGTCATTGACAAGTCTGCAGACGTGAAAGGCAAAGTATCACAGGCTACAGAAAACGCCGGCGAGGCGGGCAAGGTGGCCAAGGACACCGTCATTGAAAAGGCCCAATCTGCAGACATGAAGGGCAAGGTATCACGAGCGACAGAAAACGTGGGTGAGTCAGCCAAGGTGGCGAAGGACACCGTCATTGAAAAGGCAGATTCTATGGACATGAGAGGCAAAGTATCACAAGCCACAGAGACCGTGGGTGGGACTGCCAAGATCGCCAAGGACACCGTCACTGAAAAAGCCGAGTCTTTCAAACAAACGATGTCGCAGCCCGCGGCCAATCTCTGAGCTGGGTAAAGAGTTATGAATTGAAGGTGCATGTGACAATCTTGATGCTTAGTGCTTCCTATAGTATTTAGTTTTTTGGTCGGTGGTGCGTCTAGTGTTGTTTGATTGAGATATAGATGCAACACGGCATGTCATGTGTTACGTTAGAAGGTTTTTTCATTTCGCTTCCTATGCCCTATGGTGCTGGGAGCTCACGGTCTTTGTACGTTATGGTTTGTGTATTGTCAAGTTCTACATATACATCCTTATTCGGCCATGTTCAAAGTGGCCAGTAATTTTCCTTTTAATATTTAATGTACTGAGAAAGGCATTATGATTTGAAAGCGGGATTGTTTAATAGGTTTAAGTTGCTTCCCGGTGAATTACTGGTATGTTTTCTGTTATTGGATTAATTAATTCTCTTCTTTTCATTTCATGTGATTTGGTGATCTAATTGCAAGGCCAAGTGCTATTTTTTAGACAGCAACTTGGATGATTTGTTCATACGTACGGATGAAGAGAATATACAGCGGAATAACTGTTAATTAGAAGCATTGTAGTCATATGTCGTCCCTCTCACAACGGGTTGGGCAAACCAACGATAACATTTTCCCAACCAATTAAACAAAGACTACTCGATCAATTATGGCGAGGTGGTGAGCTGCGAATTCTTTTCTACCCTGGGACGATTCTAGTCTGTTTCCAAAAGAAAATCCTAATTTTAATATAGGTTGAATAATTCCTTCCTCTTCCCAGTTTCCATGCCGCAACGTGAAACTTGTTTGAAATGTGATTTCTAAAGTTTATAGAACATTGCAATACTTATCCTTTTGCTAAAAAGTATTTTTAATTTCTGGGGAAAAGTGAGTGTTTCATCGCTTCAGGATGAGGGAGACTCATTTAATTTGCTTGGTTTCCCAACTTTAATTTATTAGAGACATTAGGGTCTGTTTTAATTATCTTCTTCCCTCAAATTTAATCTTTTACTTTTGATCTGTTTGATAGCATTTAATAGCAGATAGATGCAGCAACCCACAAAGATTGTACTACCTCCGATCCTAATAATAAGACCTCGTTTATAAACTACAAATAAGTTCTTATAATTAAAACCGAAGATAGTATTTTACTTTGTATTAATGTTTAAGCTATATATAGATATATGATCAAGCAATAAAAAATGACTTGGAACAAAAAGAAAATCATTTTCTCTGGAGGTGTTCATAATTCATATATGTTGATTCAGGGTTCTATTCATGGGTCTGTCATCTGTGTGGCCTTCGCGGGGCACCAATTGGAGAGGTTGGACAGGCTTCTATATTGTGCCACACAAAAGTTACCACGCAGCTATTTAATTTCCTAGGGCATTGTGACTACCAAGATTATTTTGAGTCAATTTTCTGTGGATGATTTGAAAGGATAACTAGTTCTTTTTCTGTAAAGGACGGGGAAAATCATGGTTCATTAACATTGGTAAAATGATGGGGGGTTTTCTCTTTTGGTTCATAGAATAAAATTTTAAATTCGTTAATTAGATTGATATATAAGAGAATAATTCCTGAAATTATTCAAGTGAAAATGCAGTTCAGAGAAATCTAAAGATATCTGACAAGTAATTAACAACAAACAAATCCTTGAGAAATAAAAACCTCCCCTATAAAACCATTTGCATTTTGTTGAGTTCAACTTCAATGAATAAAATTTTAACCATTGCCCTAAATTATTACACAGTCGGAAATAACAACATATATGTACAACCTTTTGACTTTAGGGAATTGAATTGGCTTGTTGTTCTTTGAGTCTGCCAGTGCTATGGATTTTTCAAATTTCTATCTCTAGCCCTTATACTCTTTCCCTGAGCAACTAAACGTGCGAATGTCTTCTAAGGTTTTGTCCCTGGCTCGTTTGGGTACACAAGACACAATATACACAACCTCATACAAATCAGAAAGACAACATGAGATAAAAGCGGGCTACGATGTCCGCTAATTCATGTGTCGGTGTCCCTATTAGAGGACCAGATAGCATGGTTGGGTGGGATTTCTTTGTCCCAAAAATCTGCAAGAAAGTGTATGGGTTTACAGTGGAACCCAGTTTTCCATGATTAAAGGGTTCATAAGACATGACAAGGAAAGGCCTTCTAAGGAGATTACTGTCACTGCTTAGCTTTTGCTGATAACAAGGTCTTCTAAGGAGATTAATTTCCTAAGTAGCTTTTCACCCAACAACAAAAGTCCAAAGTAGCTAGTTGTGAAAATTGTCCACACACACACATATATATGTATATATTGTTTTGTTAAATCCTTGGTCAGATGGGGAGGAGAAGGAAATGCATATTTCTATTACCGTCTATTTTTAGTCAAAGAACACGAGTTATTTCAAAGAAGACAACTGTAAACTAATTCTTCACTCAGAAATTCTGATATTGTTGTTGTTATTTTTTTTTTCCAAACAGCATTATTAATTTGGGAGATTGAGGGTTCTTGGCTTACACTTGCTGCTGCTTCGTCCTTTGCTTATTGTTGTGCATCCAAACCTTGAAAACCTGCCTGTTCACTCCAACCTGAGAACAGAATTGCCGTACTTCTTGTTCATCATTTTTCTGGATCTTCCACCCAAGCTTCTCAGCATATTCCATCATCCTCCTCTTCTGTTCTTGTGTAAACTTGGTCCGAAACCTCTTCGTCTTCGAGAGTGATGCCTGCACTGCCAGCTGCCCTCCGCTATTAGGCCGCAGAACATGGAGATCTTCGCCGGAGGACTCCACTGGCACCCCTCCGAAGGCCACCATCATTGGTGGAATCAATCTGTTATGTTGCTGATGAAGAGAAGAAGGGACTAAAGGAGAAGCAATTCTATGTCGTTGATCGTTGCTTTTGTTGGAATAATAGCTGTAATAATCAGAAATATGTTGTACTTCTGGCTTACCTTCTGTTTCTTTCCGATGAAAATTCCGGTGGCATCCACAAGCAGCACATCTTAAAGATTCCGTGGCGTCTTCTTCTCCGCTTGGCATGAACTCTCCACATCCATCCACAACATGGCTCCCCATGCTCGCTGCGTGGTTCTTCAAACATTCTCTGTACTTAACGATCGTCAAGCTTGGATATGGATCACCTTGTAGATGATTCGATGGAGGAGGAAAATAAAGATGATGGTGTTCTGAAGAATTCCTTTTGGGGTGATCGTCATCATAAATCGGAGTGGTTGTCATCTCTATTTTCTTATCTTGGTCACTGAGTTCTCCCATCTAATTAAGCTGTGTATTTCTAAGCTCTAAACCTTGATCATTTTCTTCATGATCTTGCTCTAATTAGAGCTATTGTGGCTGTGGATCCTCCTGTGTGAGCAGCTCGACCCTAATGAAATGCATCCCATCTTATGGAAGAGAAATCTTTAATTAATCAAAGATATAATTACTAGCTAGCAGACACAGTGCACACCTACTATTATTCTTTTCTTTCCTTATTCTGATATTGACGTTCTGGGTGCTAAACCCACCAACTGATTTTACTAATCAACCCTACTCCCAGAGACATAAGTGAGTGATTATACTGTTTTATGTAGAAAAAAGTAGTTTAATTTCACTAAAGCAAAAAAGATAACTTCGCACAAGAGACCAAAAACCAAAAAGAGAAAGGGTTCAACCTGGCATAGTAATTTATTGAAATACAAGCCTAGGAGCTGGGTCCCTAGAGAACCTAAAGAAGAGCCTGAAGAGCAGAAAAGCTTGATTGCACCTGCAAAAGCTGGGGAGAGAGAAAGAAAGAGCAAAAAGATAGAATACAGAGAATAACTGGAAAGATTTGTTAAGATAACGATTAAGATTTAAAGGAGAAACCTCGGATCTTAATATTAAATTGAGAGAGAAAAGGGCTACGAGAAAGAAGATTCCAAGGTGGGAGGGAGGGCCAAGAGTGTAATGTTTCCTACCAGCCATCCATCCCCATGGAAACCAACTATAGAAGGAACAGGATACGGTGGTTTACACTCAGAAATCAGAATGAGTTTGTCTTGCAGAACAACCGACAAGCTCATGTTAGTCCTCTGCCACACCCTCCAACTTGGTCCTGTTGTTAATAATTGTCCCTTCTCAGACCCCTCTTGAATCCTAGGGCAACACTTGTCTGACAAAAATGAGCAAATATTTCTTTATAAGGAAGAGACTAGGGAGCTAAGGATTGATGTTGATTATTGATCACGCTTATCACCTCTCCTAATTATATTTTAGCTCTGAAAGTAAATGAAGCCATGCTATAATTAGTATCAATAGAGAATGGAGAGATCAGATGACTATAACGGGTGAAAATCTGAATTAAGAGGTTCTGTAAGGGAGGCCTTTCGATCGAGTTAGCTATTTATCAGATGGTTAGGAATTCAGGGTAATTAAATTTCAAGGTTGACTAAGTAATTTTTGAAGTAGGAAGAATAACGTAGAATGGTTGGGGCCACTGTAAGCAAACAGAAAATATGGTGTTACTGCTACTGTTACTGTCAGGTTCTTTAGACATTATTGTGCGGCTGCATTATGATTTAGGTGCATGCAATCCCCATCCTCCTTTCCGCTTTCTCCTGAGGCTAAATAACTTCTTTAATTTTACGGCACCCTTCTCTTCTAATAAACAATAAGCATCACTTTCACCGAAAAACACACACACACGTAATGTACGAAGGCACACTCTTGGGTGTGTACAAATGCACTGCGTGCATACATCAGGATCTTCCTCCCAAATGATGTCAGATTACCATGCGCTGTTGCAATAAAACATGACTTGTTCATATATACTAGTTTATTAACTTCGAAGACAAGGTACTAGTACCACTCAGGCCGGTATTTCCTTAAAGTGATGTTTATGATATTTTGTAAATTATTTGAAACTTTATCATGCCATTTTTTTTTCCGAAGAAAGGAACCATCTGGTTACTTGATATTTAACATCGCACACGGTCGAAAACCTAGATACTAATGATCCACCTCACTCACACATAATATGAAATTAGTTTGGCTTGCTAATCGCATGTACAATTTTCTCACGCTTTTGTACCCGTACCCCTCAATCGCACATGCACTTTAATTTCTTGCTCTCTATGTCCTATAACCTAATGTCGTGCCATCTGCCAGACAACATATGGGGAACAAAATATTTTGTGGCGCCCATAATCAATGAATGCAATATCGGATAGGACCTAGAGACCTAGCCGCTTGTTCAATCCAGTTCATTGCCTGAACCGGAAAGATTTGACCTGATATGAGCCGGTCTAATTAAGTAGTGTGACTTGGGCATAATCAAGTAATGAATTTTTTTTTGGGCTTAAGTAGAATAAAATGACATAGTTTTACTTTTTTGTAATGAAAATAAAAAGAAAAATACCAACGAGGTTAGTCCAAGTGGTAAGCGGTTTGGTACCGCTTAAGCGAGGTCTCGAGTTCGAGCCTCAGAGTATTCAGAAATCCTTGTTAGGAGACTCAACCATTACAGCCAGGTACGCTACGTGGGTTAAATCCAATGTAGTCGGAACAAAGCTCCAGTAAATTAGATTGGGCAAAAAAAAAAAAAGGAAAAATCAGGACTTCACTCATCTAACTCCGTAAGTCATCTATGCTCTTCACTTCGTTCTTCGCGCCTGCTCTCCTCACCTTGTAGTGCTCTAGATTTCTAAACTCCCAGATCCGAATTCGGAATTCCCAAATCCAACTTCATATATGCTCATGCTTGTGACTTCGCCTTCACTTGTGGCTCTGTCATTGTTGTGCTCTGAATTCCTAAACCTTGTCGTATTCGTCTCAATCAACTGTACAACCGTTCTCCGATCACAATTTGATTTTTTGTTCAATTATATTACTTTTACTTGTTAGTATAAAAAGTAACTTGACATTCATGACATTCAATTTGTTTTTAAATATAATATTTTAATTCATTTTATCTTTTATTTTTATTTATTTTTTTAAGATAGTTCTTATAGTAATTGCACATGTTCAATATTTTATCAAATAGTGACTCTAGCTAAACAATTTCTATCTATTACCAAATAACTAACTTAACTATTTTAATATACTCAAATTAATTAACTAGTTCTTATATTAACAAGTGGAAGTAGTAGTTTCTATCAAATGAATTTTATGCTTGTACTGTTTTATTATTCTAACGTTTGATTTGTCTTTGTTGACGCTGGATTTGTATCTGCTGTTGGATTCGTCAAATATGAATATTTTTAATTAAATATTATTATTTTAATATCATCGATATCCCCTCAATTGATTCCAATATGACCTATTGTTCCATGGGTTCATTGTTTGTTCCAATTTTTAGTATCTTGCACATAATATCAGTGGTTGTTTGTAAATCATGATAAATACTACCTCTAGTCCTTTATAAGAGTTTATTTGATTTTTATTTTGATCATAAATATAAAATCTTAATATATTTTGTTTGTCATATTTATCTATTTTTATCCTTAAGGTGGTCTTTATAATAATAGTAGTTCTAATCAATACACTTAATTAGTAAGGATATTTTAGGAAAGATAGCCTATATTTATAACAAATAACTAGCTTAACTAATTTTTTTAATTTACTCAAATTAGTCAGCTAATTTTTATATTAAAAACAAGAGGTAATACCATTTTGTGTTTTTAAAAAGCACCTTGAAGATGTTCAAGGGAGGGAAAGTAATTTCACTTGCATTAATGGTCACTCCCTTTGACTCTATTTATAAGCTTCAAATCTAAAGAGGAAGTGTGAACATGTGGTTCATTTTAATTATAAGCTCTAATTTAAACTTACCTTAACATTTAATATATTTTTTATTTTTCTATTAATTATATATATTTTTCATTTACTATACTTTCTCTCATCACATTTTTCGATACATTCTTTTTCATCATTTTTTATTTATTATAAAAGTATATTTAAAAATAAAAATATATCTCTAACTTATTATTATTTTTAAATAATTTTAATTGATCTATAAATTAATTATTTAAGGCTTATAATAAATAGATGAAAATGGAGTAATAAACTTAATTACTGATGAGACGGGAAAGAAATGCCATGGGGTTAGGGCGTCACGTCAGAAAGCGCACGCGTGTGCGTGGAGTTGGCGCCTGAATAAGATCCCACTTCCCTTCCCACCACTCCATCAAATTTGGCTTTACCATCTCATCTCCTTCTCTTTATGCCTTTTTTCCTCTTTCCCTTCTTCTTGCCACTCTTCTCTCTCCCCCCTTCTTCGACATTCTACCACCTTCTTATTTCAGTTACCACGCTGTTTCTGTGTCCATAGGTAACTTGTAAGAGACAAATTTGATTCTCAATCTAGGTTACTTAGAAGTCAATTAGTGACATTTTTTTTAAATTTTTACTCTTATTGAATAGAATAAATGAAATATAGGAGAAAAATGTCCAACATATTTCTTCAATGCTCCCTTTTTTAATAAGGATAAATGTAAAATTTTTTATCTCAAATGAAATGCAAGAATCATATGTGCGATCAGAGTGTCCGACTAATTAATTCCTCGTGAATAAACTCCTTGGAGTATCACTCTAATCTTTATTATTTATCACTTCTATCTTTTTAATGCTTCATTTCTAATTATACTTTTATTAATTATAGTAAAGATAAAAAGAAAAGAAATGGATGAGAAAAAATATACTAATATTATTGAATGTTTTCTTTAATAGGAGTAAAATTTAACGTATGAGAAATTGTTATAAATAATAAAAAGTTAAGATGTATTTAGTATCTTGAAATATTTTCTCTAGCGCATCTAGTACTTTAAAATATTTTTTTAGGTGCATCTAATACTATAAAATATTTTTTGATGTATCCAGTATCTTAAAGTATGTTTGTTAAGTGCTGAAACTATTTTTTGATATATCTAGTACTGAAATAAAAAAAATATTTTAAAGTGATGAATATATTTAAAAATAATTCAAAATGCTGAATGTACGATAAGATATGGTTAAAAAAATATTTTAGATGCACCTCACCTCAATAATAATAACAAGAGCCGGAGTCAACTTTTGTTTTTTGTTTTTTAACTTTCCAAGCCGCAGGGTTTACAGCCCCTGGAAGATTTTTGTCCTCTTGTAGTTGTCTGATAGCGGCGGGGCATGTTTGTAAATAGAGAAAAGCTGCTGATGCCATATCAAATATATGATTCTGCCTCTTGTCTTTTTTCTCAGGCGATAGTGCCCGGATTCTGTAGTCATTCGTGCCGTACCCTCCCCACGCTTTTTCCTGTCAAAATTTTCAGGGAAACTGACACTGCATTCCCATAAAATATAAAATATTGTAAAAAAAAATCTTGAATAATGAATTTGAAATCCCAAAAGAACTTGAGTGCAATTTAATAAAGTATAAAATAACCTCTATGCCTTGTTAAGACACATACAAAACTGTTGTGAAGTTGCTCTGTCTCAACCTGAAAATCAACACCCTATTCGCAAAACCAAGAGGAAAAAAAAACCTAAACTTCATCTTATTTCTTCCTTACTCCCATATGAAAATTTTACCCACTCCACTGATATTAACCATTGGTAAAAAGTAAAAACCGCTTGTGTTTTAGATTTGATGTGTGTTAGTCATTTAAATTAGGGTTTTATTATGGGTGGCTAGGATGATAATGAATGCTCTATTTCTGGGTATATTATGGGTGAATTGGGAATAAGTTTGTTTTGTTTCGACATGATTTAATAGGAATTGATGAAAAAGATAAAGTTTGATATGGTAGAAACCCTTGCTATGAAATAAAAGAATATGTTACCAATATAGGCCGTGATATTTTTTTTTTAGTGGAAAAGGAATATATTGATCAAATATTTACAGTAAGCGGTTACAAGCTTTTAAGCAGTGCCAGCAATACAATCTAAGACACTTTTTGCATTATAGGTGTGGTTACCAATAGAAATAACATTAGTGATCATATCCTCCAAAGACAAATAACTCCTTGACTTGTCAATGATCACTGTGTCATGCAAGTATACATTAACTGCTTTTGTCACGTTTTTTACACATAAGCCATGATCTTCTATGCCTTTAACTCATTGGTAGAGGTTATAAAAAGAGGAAGAAGATGCAATGAAGAAGGGCCAACGATCACATGAGGCAAAAGAAAGAAAAAGGTAAAAAGAAATACCATTTTGAACTAATACCAATGATGGGAAAAGTTTTTTTTTTTTTTTATTGATGGAAGTGATGACACGAGTTTCTTTGTAAATGTTATGATATACACAAATAGTTAATTTGATATTGGATGCATGTAATTGTATGTTTTATTTTCAATGGGTTGTGAAAATGGTGTAATTATATTTATATGAAGTTGTAAATAAAAGTTGGCTATATATTACATTATAATATATAATCAGTTGTCATTATTCGCACCTTTTATTGTCATACATCCTTCATCACTTGTTACCCATAACATTATCAGTTATCAATTTATGTGCTGATATAGGTTTGGAAAAATAATGTGATTTTAAACTACATAATGTTATACAATGTTGTATAACATCACAAATTCTTCTAAACTAATACATTTTTTTTATGATGTGATATAGAATCATTATTAAAAGTCAATTATCATTTATACGAAATTTTAAAATCACTTGTCATTAATGACACATTCACCAATCAATGGTTTTAGTAGAACTTGTTAATCGTTGTACTATCACTTATCAATTTATCTATTCATATAAGTTTAAAAAAATGTGAGCTCAAGTTACATATTTTTTGTACTAATATGTGAGTTTTTTAACTAGCCTATGTTACTTTGTTTGCTATGGTTTATAATAAGGACCACTCCATCCTTACATATTGAATTTTTTTACAATAATTATTGTGGTGTTTATGTCATCTTGTGATTATATTGTTTATTTTTTAAAAACAAAAAGTAGACCAATTCTATAAATCACATATATCAGCAAGAAAATTATCAAGTTACAGTAACACTATTAACAAATCAAGATATAGACATTAACAATTGACGCAAGGAACATTGATTTAAATTTATAATTCTAGTATATTTCACTTAAAGTAGAAATATTATATTATCTTATATCACATTATAATGAGAATGTATTACTAAAATTTATGCTAATTAAATGACATTTTTTCACAACTTAAGTAGATTCCCATGAGCATATAAATTGACATATCACAATTATGTCATTGACAAGTCATTATGCCATCATTAACAATTGAAGGTGTCATTAATGACAAGTGATTTCATAATTTTTATCAGTGATAATTGATTTTTAATAATAATTCTATATCATATTATAACAAAAATGTATTAGTTTAGAGGAATTTGTAATATTATAGGACGTTGTACAGCATTATGTCACTTAGAATCACATTTTTTCCAAGCATATATCATCACATAAATTGATAACTGATTGAATAATGAGTGACAAGTATTGAAGGATGTATTGACAATGAAAGGTGCAAATAATAAGAAGTAACTATGCATCAGAATATAATACATAGCTTACTTTTATTTACAACTTTATATAGATGTAATTACACAAATTTCACAACTCATTGAAAATAAAACATACAATTGCATGTATCTAATATCAAATTAACTATTTGTGTATATCATAAATTTACAAAAAACAAAAACTAGTCATCACTTCTATAAAAAAAAAAAAACTTTTCCCATCATTTGTATAGGTTCAAAATGGTTTTTTTTTTTTTGCCCTTTTTCTTCTTTTACCTCACGTGACTGCTAGCCCTTCTTCATTGTCTCTTCTTCCTCTTTTTGTAACCTCTACCAAATAGTTAAGGGCATAGAAGGTCATGGCTTTTGTGTCAAAAACGTGACAAGTCAAAGAACCATATTGATAACTATTATGGCCCATATTAATAACGTATTCTCCTCTTTCGTAGCAGGGTTTCTATCCATATCAAGCTTCATCTTTTCCATCAATTCCTGTTAAACCATGTCGAAACAGAGCAAACTCAATCCACCCACAATACATCTAAAAACAGAGCATCCATCATCATCCTACCCACCCATAATAAAACCCTAACTTAGATAACCAACACACACCAAACCAAAAACACAAGTGATGTCTGTCAATGGTTAATGTTGGTGGAGTGGGCGGGATTTTCCGATGGGAGTAAGGAAGAAACAAGATAAAGTTTAGGTATTTTTTTTCCTCTTGCCTTCTGCGAATAAGATGTTAATTTTCAGGTTGAAACAGAGCAACTTTGCGCCACCTTTGGGTGTATCTTACCAGGGCAGAGAGGTCATTTTACACTTCATTAAATTACATTCAGATCCTTTTGAAACTTCAGATTCATTACTAAGTTTTCTAAGACCTTTTTGTAGTATTTTGTATTCCATAGGATCCCAATATCATTTTCCATAGAAAGAATGTGACTATGCAATGCACGAACAGCTTGAGATATACTCCCTCCGTTCCTTATTATAAGAGACGAATAACTGAATTACGTTGATAAAAAAAACAGTTAAAATTAGTTAAGAACAATCAATGTGTAAAAAGTATAATTTCTTTTTCAAAAATACCCTCATTAATAAGGAGAGAGAACATGAGAGAGAATAATAGTAAATTATTAAAGAAAGAGAAGTGGGAAGGAGAGAGTGTGAGTTAGAGACAATAAATATGGGTAAAATAGGAAATCAACACAAAAAAGTAGAGACAACTTTTAAGTGTCTCTTATATATAGGAACATGCCATAAGCATCAAATGTCTCTTATAATAAGGAACGGAGGGAGTATTTATCAAAAGATAAAACTGAGTCACCTTAATTTCCTTTTCTTTTGCGAATAAACCACTCTGATTTTACACATAGGATTTGAATTATAAAACTTGAACTATAGTTTTAGAGTTTGTCTGGATTTAGTCTTAGACAATGTTTATTTTCCATCCAATCCAATTTAATATGACTTTTCACCAAAGCCCATGAACACCCTATAGATATTTCTTTGACTCACTATCAACATGTTTTTTTTGGATTAACATCACTTTCAGCGTTTTGAATTTGATTTTATTTTGATTTTTTTCTTTAAAATTTGAAATGAAATTTGACTTGACTTTGATCTTAATATTTGAAATTTAAAATATGTAATTTTGATCTTTAAAATTTGATCTCACGTTGGTTTTGTTTCTCATTTTAAGAACCAAAAATATTGTTTCAAGGACTAAAAATATTTAAGTGAACTAAAATGAAGTCTAATTTTAGAGATCAAAATGAAAATAAGGTTAAATTTCAAGAATTAAAATAACTTATTTTAAATTTTAAGCCCTAAAATCAAAATTAAATTAAATGTTAAGGACCAAAGGTGATAATTTTTTTGGTGTCAGAAAGGCTGATTGATCTCACCGCAACTTGAGACTATTGAGGGCCTGGTTCTTTTAAAAACGTTGAGTAGTTACATGCATGAAATCTGATTTTCAATAGACGAGAAAATTCTTTTTTTTTTTTTAAATCCTTGCGATATATAAATAATCATGGAAAAAGTAAAATAAAATGAATTTTCCAGGAATATCTGAAATCATTTTTACATGTTTAACATGGAGCCTTCGATCAATGCAAGACTAATAATAGCCAAGAACAGAGTTAGAGGAAAACCAGCAGGTCTTCCAAAATCACCGGATCCTCTGACACACAATTCTATAGCATTGCGTTTTTCCGCTTATCAACCTTCACCTCAACACTCTTAACCTATCATTATGAGTAGCATTGATCCACCTCTGAGAAATTTTTTCAAACGCTTGCAATTCAAGTTCCTTTTGGAGGTCGTTTTGACTTCGATCCTCCCAATCTGCAGCAATGAGTTCGAGGGACGAAAACGATGATCTTAGGCGGCCCCTCCGTCATACTGGTAGCTGGTACAAAATGGGTTCGAGGCAGTCCAGCATGATGGGTTCCTCTGTTCAGTCCATGCGAGAAGGCTCAATCTCTGTTCTGTTCTGTGTGCTTATCGTAGCATTGGGCCCTATTCAATTCGGTTTCACGGTAATATCATATCTTATTACTTCCCTGGAATTGGTCAGGCGAAATATTTCATTGATTTTTGTTTTGTTTTTATTGCAATTACAGAGTGGGTATTCCTCTCCCACGCAAGAGCAAATTATCCTTGATCTAAATCTCACGATATCGGAGGTTTGAAACGTATTTGAGCAATGTCATTTACCTTCATCTCTAATCATTATACCCGGTTTTGGTGAATTTAATATTGGGAACAGTTCTCTGTATTTGGATCTTTGTCCAATGTGGGTGCGATGGTGGGAGCTCTAACCAGTGGTCAGTTATCAGAATATATGGGACGTAAAGGGGTATATGATGTTTTAGTATGTTTTCGTCTTTAAGGTGGCCAACTGTGAATGAGGTTAATGAACCTTTGGCATGTTGAATTGCAGTCGCTAATGATGGCAGCAATCCCCAATATAATAGGGTGGCTTGCTATTTCTTTTGCCAAAGTAAGTGATAGCTGAGCAGTTTTTGTTATTGTCACTGTTCCTATTATATCAATATTGTCATTCCTGATATATCCAACTTTCTTACCTTATTACATGTATTCCTGCTTTTGCAGGACTCATCATTTCTGTTTATGGGGAGATTGTTAGAAGGCTTTGGAGTTGGGATAATCTCTTATGTGGTAATCTTGAATTCTTGATATGCCTTTTATCTCCCATTCGTTGGAATAAAAAGAAAGCTCAGTGAAACTCGTGTTCTGTCCTTCTTCCTGTTTAGGTGCCTGTTTATATAGCCGAGATAGCACCTCAGAACATGAGGGGGAGCCTTGGATCTGTTAACCAGGTGTAGCCCTTGATCCGGCTTCTTGAGAAAATGTGTATTTGACTTTCTGTTGTATTTAGATATTAATATTCACATCAGTGTTCCTCTTGGTTCAGCTCTCCATTACAATTGGAATCATGCTGGCGTATCTGCTTGGCCTTTTTGTCAACTGGGAAACGCTTGCTGTTTTAGGTAAATTCCCAATTATTCAGTTGGTTGGTGTTCTTTGAGGGGAGAACAATTGAATTTACTCTGAGTAGTGGGAAACAATTGTCAGAGACATAAATACAGGTACTGGTCAATTCACAGAGAAACGGGAACTTGATGGGGGAGAAATTTAGGAATAATTTGTATATACAAGGTTTGCTAGATGTTATCATGCTACTTTTTGGCCAAAAAAATCATGCTACTTGACTGGATAAGTTTTTTTTTTTTGTAAAAATATTCTTATTCATTTATTTTGATGGGTAAGGAGGAGGCTTGAAAGGTTGGCTTAGAAATGTTTTCAACTTATCAATGTAGACTGGTTAGTTGGCCTTGCCTAAAAAGTTGATCTTGAACCCAGGCAAACTGTTTTTAAGTTCAATAAAAGTACTGTATAACTTCAGTTGCTTCATAGTTCTCCAAATTTGACAGAATATTATGTATCCAATGGGTGTTTGAAAGCATTGAAGTTGAGGGAGCATAAATCCAACAGAATGAAAAATGTTCTATTTCATTACAGGGGCTTTGCCTTGTACAATATTAATACCCGGATTATTTTTCATACCAGAATCACCCAGATGGCTGGTATGAATCATTCGTTATGTTATGTATTAAACTAATTTTCTATCTTTCAATTTTATTAATTTATACACTCTTTTCAAGAGACGAGCAAAATAATCAATAACTTTTTTATTTTCTCTGGCTTGGGGGCACTCTGGAAAATTCAGGCCAAGATGGGGATGACAGAAGAATTTGAGACTTCATTGCAAGTTTTACGAGGGTTTGACATGGATATAGTTGTTGAAGCAAATGAAATTAAGGTATTTAACTCATTATTTTGTTATATCTAAGTTAGAGCCAAGGCTTACACGTTAACAGAAAGTATATGCAAATTATGTTTAAAGTACGGATCCAGAATATTTGTTTAAAATCCATACGCTACTAAGTGTTTTCTGTAGAGATCTGTTGCATCAACAAGCAAGCGAGTGACGGTTCGGTTGGCTGACCTCAAAAGAAAAAGATATTGGTTTCCTTTAATGGTATGCTCGAGTCTATTTTGATCCTTAAGTTACTCCCATTCTCCTCCCAAGCTTCTCCAATTGTTATTTACTGAGAAAATTTAAAACCTAAACCTTTCGGATAGTTGATTGCCTGCAGGTAGGTATTGGATTGCTTGTGCTCCAGCAATTGAGTGGTATTAACGGAGTATTGTTCTATTCAAGTACCATATTTCAAAATGCAGGTAAAATCTACCAATGAGATGTTAACTTTTCAGTTATTTTTTTCATGAAATTTTGCTGTATATTAGTTTTGTTTTTTGAATAATTTTGGAGATGTCGGAATTTTAAACCTTTGAAATGTGGATTTCGATATCATTCAAGAAGATTTTGAATATGAGATGCTTGTCCAAGGGGACATGATCTCCACTTTATTATCTGTTAATCTGTCATTGTTCCATGGCAAACATAGTTATTTGATAATGATGTGTTGAAGACACATTTGAACTTCAGCTGTTCTGAACTTCAGTTTAACTGGCTAGTTGACTTCTGTTCTTGGTAAGTTTGGCTTGTACGATCAGGTTTGACAAACAGTAACGGAAGATAAATTGAGGTTTTGAAATGACAGTTTTAGTAGCTCTTGGATTTTATTTGACTTCTTGTTGAACAGGAATTTCATCCAGCAATGTTGCTACATTTGGACTCGGAGCTATACAGGTTAGGTACTAGATAACATGCATTATATTATAGCACACAATATTATAACCTCGTTTCATCACTAAAGTCTCATCATTAAAATTCCTTTTCAGGTCATAGCAACTGGAATCGCTACTTGGTTGGTGGACAAAAGCGGACGAAGACTGCTTCTGATAGTATGCATCAAGCAAAATTCAACCATTTGTCGATACTTGTCATTTTAAGGATACAAAATATGAAATCCATGATTGCTTCTGCAGATATCCTCATCATCAATGACAGTGAGCCTCATTCTTGTTTCAGTAGCATTCTATTTGAAGGTTGGTACTTGTTAGTGGCACAGGCTTAATTCACTGCCAGGAGCTTAGCTCTGTTTATAACTCTAATTATGTATTTATACCAGGGAGTTGTACCGGAGGATTCTCATCTATATAGCAATCTGGGAATACTATCTGTTGTTGGTCTCGTGGTATGTTATGTGGATTAGGTTTGATGCCTTTGTTCGCTTGCCTTCATGGATTCAGTCCTTACCAGTTTGATCAACTTTTCCTGTCCAGGCTATGGTGATCGGCTTCTCTCTTGGACTGGGACCCATTCCATGGGTTATCATGTCTGAGGTATGCAAACATATTACTACCTTTGGTTCTTAATATAAGTGCTAGTTGACTAATTTAAGTAGCTTAATGAAATTAGTTAAGTTAATTATTTATCATAAATAAGTGTTGTCTTTCTTAAAATACCATTGCTAATCATGTGTATTAGTTAGAACTGTCATTTGATAAAACTTTTAATATGTGCACCTACTATAAAGACTACATTGGGAAAAAGTAGATAAACATGAGAGATGAAATATATTGGGGTCTTATATTGAGGATCAAATTGAATGGTAAACTAGTTCTTATATTAAGAATCAGAGGTGATAATTATTTTTCCTATTCCAAACAAATAAACACAAGATTTTCCCTTTAGGCCAGAAGAAAGAGTCTCAAGATGGATCACGTAGTTGTAGGACTATTTCTTACTTTGGCTAATGCATGTCAATTTCCTGCTGTTTTCTCAGTTCTTAATGTTCATCCACATCTATTTCTTAGACATGAGATAGTAAGGCACAAAGTAAGTTATCAAAAATTTTATTTAATTTTTATTGAAATCGTTGAGATTTTTTCATTTTAAGGACACACTCAAATTTTGCTATAAAGATTATCTTATAATTTAATTCAAATATTTTTGACAAAAGTTTCTTGTAGGGCAATTTTTCTTCTTCTTTGGGTTTACATGTGTTGAAAAAGACAACTTAGAGTGTGTGACATTCATGCCAACAAGGTTCGATGGGGCTAATCCCTCATAATGTGACGAATTATAGTTCAAATCCCCATTAGGAGAGATAGCCACATTTAATTCTTAACAATGCCTGGAATAAGATTGCCACAAGCAAAAAGCGGGAAAACAAAATGAAGAAGAAAGGGAACATCTTGTTGAATTTACCTTGCTCGGATAGTATTAAAGAAGAGAAGATCAATACGGCAGTTTTTGTAGAAGGAATCACTGAGTGGTTTGGATGGTGCTTTTCAGATCCTTCCGATAAATATAAAAGGACTTGCAGGCAGCGTGGCCACGTTAGCAAATTGGCTGATTTCTTTTCTGATCACAATGACCGCAAACTTGCTTCTAACTTGGAGCAGCGGAGGTCTGTTCTCTGTTGTGCGTGTTTTGAGTACGTGTTGTGATTGTGCATAATATGGTTAGTTAATGTTGTGTCTTCACCGCAGGAACCTTCACAGTCTACGCAGCAGTATCTGCCTTCACAGTTGCTTTTGCGGCAATTTGGGTCCCTGAAACTAAAGGAAGGACTTTGGAAGAGATTCAGTCATCCTTTAGATGATCCTCTTCTTTCTTTTGTCCAGTGAATGATGTCCACGAGTTTTCTTCTTCCTCTTTTTTACGTCATTATTCTTTTAAAAACACAATACAAGGGATGAATTGGGCGATGGGTGTAGAAGCAACATTTAATAAATCTTCAGATCAAAGCAGTCTGCCCTCTAGATCACAAATTGTAAATTTTGTTTCTCTGATCTGATGTCGGTCACAACTGCTGAATGAATTCAGAATCAGAACACTGTACATACTAAAATGTATGGCATGCCAGGTGAATTGTATGGCAAAATGCTTTTAAGTTTTAATCTTAACTAGGGCCAGGTTGGATTAAATAAGTTTAGTTGAATGAGATAGGTTAAACCAAAAAAAGCTGGGTAGTTTTCAGCCCTTAACAGGTTAAAGTACTAGCCCATTATCAATGACTGAGTTAAGAGATTAGTCTTTCACAACATAATGAATTAATAATCGAAACCTTATTAAAAGAGGTATTCATATTTAGTATCTAACAGTGCTTAGGGGGTATATAAACAAGTTGAAGCAATCCAATGCTATTTTTCACTTCAATTCCTATGGGCCAGTCCAATGGTATGGGCTGGCCCAATTTCCTCCTCATACTAATCTGGGTGCTACTTTAGCACGGCCCCAAAAACTTTGTGAGGTGCGAAGGATTTCCCAAGTTCTAGAATATTAGAATGTGAAATCATCTTCTTTTTTACGATAAAAGAATCATCCTCTGCTTTTTTAACAATTAATATATTCTTGTTTTTATAACATACGATTAATATATTCTAAAATTGTAAAATGTAAAAGACCAATTGCCAACCTGCCTTAGTCATCGTAAATGTAGGATGGAATGTGTGTGTGTCTCAGTGATTAATCTATCACCTGATTTATTTTTAAAATTAGAAAAATCAATCTTTTTAATTCTTATAGCTTAGTTTAGTTTTTAATTTTTAATTTGGTTGTATCCTTCATTTTCTTTCAGATCCATCCCCATAATTTCTTTAGTCCTTTTTTTTTTTGTTTTTTTTTGGGGGGGGGTGGTTTAACTTAATTTCCTTAGTTCTTACCATTAAACCTTGAGATACAGCCATGTAAGTTGCAGCTATAACTCCAAACTATTTGGTCTCCCCACAAGCGGCGGTTGTGAGTTGTGACCCGAGGGAGACTGAAAAGCATGGTGGCCATGTCCTTAGCCAAACCCACAACTAATTTAAAGACCCCACTTCATCTATCTGGGAGCTTTATCCATGGATTCTTGCTCTTTTTTCAGCAATACTTTTATTCATAAGAAGTTTCTTGTCAGCGGTGATCATGAGCGGAAGAACGAAAGCGGGATAAAATGAAAAAAATCGTAGAATAAGTTACTTACTCTGTTCTTCTCTGTTTTTTTCCTCTGAAAAACAGAGCATTTTGATCACTAATTAAGAATTCATCTTAAGGAAACGGGTTTTGCGCGGGTAGGTAAAGACTTATATTGTGGAACAAAGAAGTACTCCACAAAGAAGTACTATGTTTCAATTTTATGGGTGTGCGTGTGCAACAGAAGGAGTAGTCCATTGAGTTATTGGAGCAGAGATTACATCTGAAGAATATAATAAAACAGAAACAGCAAATGGGTTTATTGAGAAGTGGGAGTGGGGAGCTGCAGAGAAGAAAGAAAGTTCTTGAGGCGTCTGTTGTAAACGCAAGGCCTCTCCAGGTGCACCAGGTGGCCTCCCTTCTTTATCCCTTCAAATGTTGCATTATCCCCGAGTTGCCTGCACCCATGAATTAGTATTTAATCTTATTATATGCTTGCTGCTCTTGATTAATATGTTACATTTGGTGGTTCGAGGTTTTGGAATCATTTATTATCAGCTTAATACCATTCTGAGCCTCATGAAGCTATAGTTTGAAACTACAGGCGTCAGAACTAGTATTCCATCAAAATGTAAGGACTAACAGTGATATTAATTCTTAATTATATGTACTTACTCTTTCATGTTGTGCGCGAACTCCACCTTGAAGATCTGGTCATTCTCCCCCCACAAAAGATGTATTCTCTGCAAAACGAAGGCTAAAGTTATCCATCTATATGCATATATAAATGGAAGTCCAGAGCTTAATTTACAACCTGAGGAAATTTTGGAATGGTGATGTCTTTGTTGCTGATGACTAAGCCCTCCAGCAGCTCGCTTCGCTCTTTCCTGTTCGTGAACATCACCTGCACACTTGGAATTTCTCTTCTCATTCACCTCACTTCTATATTTCAATTATATTATAAAATATAAATTCCATACAAAACTACATTACTTATGACTAATCAACAATTTAATTAATAACTTACTCTCGTTCACCATAATTACCCCTAGGGAAGACATATCAAGATTTGAAAAAAAGAAGAAGAAAAGAAGCTCATCAAATCACTACCGCGGACTTTTAGATCACTGATGTTAAACTTATTTATATGCATTTCACAATTTAATAAATGAAAAAAAGAAGAGTTAGTGTATCTTATGTATATTTAAGGCTGTCCAATGGCTAATAGCAACAGAATAGCTTTATTAACAAGACACGCTAACTTTTCTTCTTTTTTAAGATTAAACGTACCGAGTAGAAGTACTTGCCAAATTAAAGAGAAAATGGGCGTTGAGTTGATCCTTAGTTTGAATGAATTATGTATGTGGTTGGCTGGTGAGTGACAGGAGAAGTCAGCATTTGGGTTGTTTAAGGATCCTAAAAGTTAAAAATGCTGATGGACGCCTCAGCTACTTGGGTATATATATCTTAGGAAGTTAGGTATTGTTAGTCGAGCTAACCCATTGTTTAATTTGTACTATTATGTCTTCTCCTTCTTTTGCCTCTATTTCTGGTCTCCTTTTCCTTCTTATATTTGGCTTCTTAGTTTCACAGTTGGTACGTATTATTCTTTCGATTTTTAACATAAAACATAATTAATTAATTTAAATAAATTAAAAGTATTAATTAAATTAATTAATATGATATGTTTTTTAAAACACTTTAAACATTTTCATTAATTTTCTCCCTCCATCTCTTGCTTATAGTAGGGAAATATCAATAGGGTTAATTTGAAAAAAAATGATAAACATAAAAAAAAGATCTTACATATAGAATTAATATTAATTTTCAAATTAGGCTCTACGTCAAAGTATACGAGGAGCAGTAATATATGTGGACACGCTTATACATCTAATTTGGTGACTCTAAAAGTTTATATACATCTGAAACAAAGATTAACAGGTAGAAAACTAAATATGTCCATTCATTTTGGTCTGTTCTTTTTTTTTTTCCCTTTCCCTCTCAAAAATAACATCAAACATAATATGTAGGCACATATTTGCATTCCTCCAAAAGATATTAAGATAATTTTCATGATATATATACCCCTCTTGACTGATTTTTTTTTTTTTTGGTTGGCGTTGTGGGTCTCAATTGATAGGTATTATACAGTTCTCATATCCCAATAAAAGGTGACGAACTACTACTGGTTTCTTGCGAAACACATGCAATGGAAGAAGCTAACATATAGTCAAAACCAACAAACAAAAATACACAAAAACCCGGTCAAAACATATATTTTCACGATCCATTCATGATCTACCTGCCTGATACTTTTATGATCCTTTTATCTTATTCTGAGGAACTTTATGTTAAATATTAAGGCCTAAAATAATGAAATTAATTTTTTCAATTACAATTTTTTCAAAAAAGTAATTTCCGTCAGACACAAAAGAATTGAGTAGAAATCTAAATCGTCATTCAAATCCCATCTGAAATATGTAAAGTAATGTAAATGAGATGATGAGCTATATATGATTGGGTGAAAAAGAAGGTGTGAAGGGAGGACCTCGAGAAAGTCTTTATGGAGGCGATCAGGGAACCAGAGGTTCTTGTAAGTCGCCACAGACAAAAGAGCCTTCAGTCCCTTAACGGAAGTCGGCAACAACAGCTCTGACGACGATGAGAACCCCAGCTCTTTCAACGTACTTTCACTTATGTTATCCGTCATGGCCAAAATGGAGCCTGATATCACCAGCCCTCTCACCATCTCCGGGCACATCTCCGCCATCTTGAACCCCACCATCCCTCCGTAGCTAAACCCCGCGACCACACACTCCTCCACCCCCAGCTTCCTTAACGCCCTCACCAAACACTCTGCTTGAAACCCCGGCGACCGGTCCGGCTTATCCGTCGTTGAACCGCCAAAGAACAGCAGGTCTGGCACGTAAACAGCGTATTTTTTGGTAAGCGCTCCCACCTGGAACTGCCACGTCACTATTCCCTCTGACGCGAAACCGTGAACCAGTACTACTACTGGTTTTGTGGGCTTGCCGATGACTTTGGGTGTTTCGTCGGATTTTTTGGGCTTAGAGACGGTGTTGGACGGAACCCAGAAGGTCATGACGGTGCCGGGCTCTATCTCCACCGTGTAGGGTCTAATGCCCGCCATCTTCATTAGCCCATGCAATAATGGTCTCTGTGCTGCTACGAGGTTTACCATGTTGTCGTCGTTGTCGTCTCTGATGGATCACCCTGGAGGTGCAGGCTATGCGTGTGAAGGGACAATAGCGAAATTGAAGAAGATGGCATGAGAGAAAGAGAGAGAGTGATTAAGAGTGTTTTTAAACTGAGGGGAAGTTGGGTTTGGTGCTGGGTTGTTATCGCTTGTCGCAGAGTTGAAAGCTACATCCGGGGATGAATTTCAAACAAGCCGCCGCCATTGGTGAGCTACATGACCTCTTGACTTCAGCAAAATTAATGATAGCCCAACTGTGCACCGCAGTCCTCCATTTTAGATTTTGTATTGAATCAACATTTTCCCACTTTAATACAAAGATACGCCCCCTAGCCCTTGATTGGCTGGGTGTCAGTTGTCCCCCGACATGGTTTAGTTTTTTTTTTTTTTAAATAAATTTAAAGTGCGAAATCTTTAATAAGAGTACTTGATGATAAAATAAATAAATATTAGAGTTCGATTCTTACATCTAAAAGATCAAATTAAGTTTTTAATTAGTTTTTATATTAAGAATACAAATACAGTAAAGCATTTGTGTATGGGGTGCAACGGTGTGTACTGTTGAAGATAACATGGGGTGGTTAGGGTCATATTTGATAACGTACTCTGGATAGGATCCTCCGTCTCAAAATCCTATAGGATAGGAACGACATAATATATGCCGCTCAGAACAAAGGAAATGCTTCGATGCATTCTGCTCAATAATTAATCTCATTTAATGTTGATACTAAAATAATAATCTTTTTAACCAAATAACTCTCCATTCCTTTACTATATTTATTACAGACAAATCATCCATAACCATAATACGCGTCTACCACCCGTACGCGGTGTCAATTTAATACTATTTCTGATTCTTAATATAAGAATTAGTTGACTAATTTAAGTAGATTAAAAAAATTAATTAAATTAATTATTTATAATAAATATGTGTTATCTTTCTTAAAATATCTTTGCTAATCAAAATGTATTGGTTACAATGATCATTATTACAAGAATTTTATTGAAAATAATAGATAAATATGAAAGACAAAATAGATTGAGATATTATATTTAAAATCAAAATAAAAGTTAAACAAGCTCTTATATTAAAAACTAGAAGTACTATTATAAAACAATATGTTTATTAGTTATGTACCTCTATGAAGCAGTGCATTTATTACAGTGAAATATAAAATCCTTAACGGCAAAAGATTTTATGTCTTTTTGCAATGGAACTTTTTAGTTATTTCCCTTGCAAGTTTACTTCTTATTTTAGTATTTGAAATCACGAAAAAGTATAAATCCAAATAAAAATTGCACTATTCACGTACGTCATCAATAATGCACTACGTTTCATTTTGTATAATATAGGAGCATGATTTACTGGCCATGAATTCACCGCAATTCGTGTTGGACCCATACCTTTCTTTATTATAGCATTATTATTTTTTTAAATTTTTATTCCTTTTGTATTTCCTTCTTGTTATTAGAATTTAAGATTTTCTACGTAAATTATATTCATCTATCTTAAGTTAAAAAATCACTATCTTAGGTTCTACTTTTCCTTTCAATCCACATAGACATAGAGATAAAACACAATATTCAAGACCAATTAAGCAAGTATATTACCCAAGTGAGGAGCTATTATTCTAATTTTAAGGGTTTGAATCTTATGCATGATGCATACCTTCGCGTTATATATACGGAAAAATATTCAACAACTTATAACATGCGTATTATTGATAGTTAAAGAATTTGGAAATTTTTATAGACATGCATGTTTGTTAAAAAGAAATGATTAATTTATAGTATTAATAAAACAAGAAAAATGAAATGCTAATTTTAATTAAGAAAAATAAGCAATAAGCAAAAGTGGAGAGGGGTGGTTGGTTGGGGAACACGTGGAAGGGTAAGTGAACGAAATCGGATCAAAGGATTGCAAACGATGAATTAAGCTCTTAGAGCACGTGTTAGAAGCGCAGAAAAAGGTTAATGAAATCTAATCAAAGGATTATACAGTTCTCTTGCACGTAATCTCGTTCACCAAATATTTTTAATATTATTTGTTGTGAAACTTTCGTTGTCACGTACAATGTTGTTTCAGTTTTAATTCATCAGCCACTTGGTCTGATTAACCTTCTCCACACCCTAGCGTTTTGCTGCTATTTCACACACTTGCCTTCATGGCGTACACATTTAGTATTGTTTTTAAATTATCCATCATTTATTTCTTATAAATAAGTTTAAAAGCAGTAACATGTCTGTGAATTTTAACATGAACAACTGCATCTCGTAGTTTTATATTATCTTATTAACACCTCTCTTGGAATAATAATAATAGTAGTAGTAGTAGTAGTAATGTACTTCACATTGTCTCCAAGAAAAAGAGATATCCAACATAAACTGGGTTTTGTATTTGATCATAATTTTGGTTTTGTTCTGTGTATTCAATCGGATGGATGGCTTATATACGCTCATTACAGTCTCTTTAGTTTGGACTGTTGTCTCCCGGGGACCGTTTGGTACCAAGAAAATAGAGAGAAGGAGAGGAGAGAAAAATTTTTAATGAGCTTAATTTAAAAAAATAAAATAAAAAAGTGAATCTAAAAATTTTTAATTAATTTTCATTATTTTGTTATCTTGCATCTTTTTTTTAATTAAAATTTTAAAACTCCCACGTCTTTAATTTTTCAAAACAAGCTCATTAAAATTTTTCCAAACCCTTCTTTCCCCAGGCCACCATTTCTCTCATGGCAAGCATAGGGTTAAACTCCATCAATGAGGTTGTTTTCTACGCGTCAAAGTGATTTGAAGCCTGGCATGACAGAAATTAAACCAACAAATATATTAATTTTCCATGCGAAACATAAAAAATAGAAGGACAGTTTTGTAGATGTTTAGTTGACAATCAATAATGGATGTTACTCTAAATAAGCAGCCCATTATTAATTTTCCTCTCAAATTTCACCGATGCAGATTGAAGTAATATCTCAAATTTGTAAAGAAACAATGTTTTAATTAAAAGACTGAACGGAGAAGTTTTATTTTTGAAAAATAAAATTATTTTTTTTCAAGAATTAGATAATTAATTTACTTTTATAATTTATATTATCAAAAAGTTATCCATGAGCCTTTTTTTTAAATAAAAATAATGATCAGCCATAAAATTAAAAACAAATGTAGAACTTTGGTAATAATGGGTAAACACATTGTACTACTTCTCGTTTCTAATATAAAAGCTAGTTTAAGATTGAATTTAATCCTAAATATAATATAATATATCAATCTATTTTATCTTTCATACTCATTATTTTTTATCAAGATTGATTTCAATGTATGTTAAAAAAAGTTTGATAGTTTCAATACAAAAGATTAAAAAGGATATTTTAAGAAAATTCAGACATATTTTTGACACATAACTAATTTAATCAACAAGTTTCTATAATCTATATAAATTACTTAAATATATATTTTTATCAGTAGTATATATTTTTATTCGAAATCTCTCCTCGAATATACTTGTAATTAATTAATGCTTCTTTAATTCACTGGCTTGCAGGGTCCAAAGCGTTGTCAAATCTTTATGTAGGAAACGTTCTAAATTTTGATTGAAACCAAACCATCATCCGCCAGATTCTGCTTCATACCCAAGTCTCTAGTGTTCAATGTTAAAAGTGCCGAAGTAACAAGGTAGTTAAACGAATAAAACGTTGGACAAACATCTATATGTATGTCGTGGTCTGACTGGAGAATATCTCAACCAATTCGTAGCAAAGCCGTTGTCCTACCGTCCCATCAACCCAACCTAAATCTCCATATAATCCTATGATCATGAAATTAACAAGCGACGAGGATACGATATTAAAATCTGCATGCACGTAATATGTAGAAAATGTTAAAAGTTGCTGATCATCGTCATATGAATATATATATATGTATATGTATATATGCTACTCATTTTTATGTTTTGCCATTAATATATAGAAATAAGCATTTCGATCTAGTGAAAAGAAAAAAGAAAGATAAGCAATCATGTTAGATTGGATATTTATGATAAAAGTTGCGCCAGTTCTCACTTCTCCCACCCCAGCTATGCGCATCTTCTTGCTTCTTGGAACTGTTAGATTCGATGATGCAGTCCAAAAAAGACAGTTCAGTATTTTTTTACTGTTCTGAACCGCACAGTGCCGGTTCAGACACTGCAGTGTGATCCGATCCGACATTATATAGTCATTAATTCATTGGCCCAGAAAAATATTTATTTTACTCTTTCACAATCCAAGAGAATATATTGATTTATCCATTTCTGAAGGTCCATGTCTGCTCTGTGGAATTCGGCAAAATGAATACAGATCAACCATATTTCTTTTCCACACATACATGGGAGGGGGGGAGGGAGCTTAAACTCTCAGTTTTTGTGAGCTGCTTTATATATATATATATGCTTTTACTTGAATTGAGCAAAAGGTCCATGCATCCATCTATAAGATCATGTGTTCATCATAATGGTTTTGAAAATAATAATAAACATTGGGAAACAAGAAAGGAAAGCGAAGCAAACAGAAAGGTAGGTCTATATATGTAATTGATTGACTGAAGAAAGAACTCAAAAGAAAAAGCAAAGTAACTAACAGCAGCATAGATGTCCCATTCTAACTCCATCTTATGTGCGAGACGGAGAGAAGAAGCAAGCAAAAAAGGGGGGGAACGGTCAAAAATCAGACACAAGGGAAACAAAAGGGGCAAAAAAATTTGATGAGACCATAACCATCGCCATCAAAAACATCTTCAACGTTGACATAGACCCGCGTGATCTTGACCGTCCAACTAGTAACCAGCTAGACCCTCCTGTCATTTCTAGTTTCCAGTATCAATTATAAATGAAAATGTCGCTCCTGTTATCATTCACATTCAAATGTTTATCCTGTGAAGTCATGGACGAGGCTCGGCCTGTCTGTTACGTTTAGTCTCCAAGAGAGAAAAGGCATGCCGTTGTCGGATTCTCCATTGCCGTCTTCCTCCATTCCCGGTGAGTAGTACGGCATTCTGTGGCCCTCTGAGTACGACTGCGCATACCAGTAATTGTCTTGGTGTCCGTACATCGCCTGAGGCTCCATAACTCCGCCCGACGCCGAAGCCGTGGCGGCGGCTGCGGCGGCGCTGGCTCTCCTCTCTTCTTTCTTGTATCTGATCCCACAGGCATTGCATAGCGACTGCCATTGCCATTCAAAAAAGACCATTAATTCTCGTAATGCAGAGCATGAAAAGAATAACAAAAGGAAATTAAAGTGAAACCCGAAGGAATAATTAATTAATGAAGCAGGCAAGCACCTTTGGACCTCTGGGGCCATTTCTCCAGAGGGGAGTGGAAGTGGTGTCGCAGTTGGCGCAGCGACGAGCGAGAAGGGGATCATTGGAGGAGGAAGAGCCGCCTCTGCTGGACCTGCCACTGTGGGATTGATTGGACTGTAATAAATCCCAGCACATGTTGGAGACGGAGCGACGTCGTTCGTTGCGGCTGCGGCGCCCTTCTTCGTCTGGAGTCAAGCGGGTGGAAGGGGTGCCGAGGGAGAGCGTGCAGTCGACGGAAGAGGAGGAGGGCGTGAGGGAAGAATACATGTCGGATTCGTCGTAGTCATAGGCATAGGAATTTTGGTCGGTGTATAGCATTGGGAAGGGATTGGCTTGGCTGTGATACATGCCACATGCGCACGCTCCCATCACGTGCCCCTCGTAGCCGCCGCAACCAGACATGGCTCTTAGCTTCTTAATGCTTCTTCGATATATGACTCTCGCTCTCTGCTTCAGCCAACACCCCTCGTCACTCGAGATTCAAATGAAGAGAGATCGAAAGGGGCTGTAAAGAAGACGAATTCAATGGATGGGAACAGAGGACAAGCGGTGACAATGAAGTACGAGGACTACTTGCGAGAAAGTGGTGAGTGGTTGGGGAATATAGTTGGACAGAGAAATGAGAAGCGGATATTGTTGTGTGATGAGAGCTTGGCGAGCGAATGAAATGGAGGGGCATATATATACCAGTCAGCGACTCAGTAGGCCACGTTGTGGATCGTGAACAGCAAACAAAGACTGAGGGACTAAAAAGACATGGAGGGAGGGACCCAACATGAATAGTTTGAAACAGGAGGAAAAAAGAGTGGCTTCGTAAGTAAGAAAGACAACGGAAGACCAAGGGAAGCAGTCAGAGGAGAGGGGATTACTGGTAGGGTAGGATATGAGGCTAGGAGCAAAGTGTTGGAGTTTAGATTTGAATTTATATAGGAAAGACCAGGAGAGGAGGAGTACAAGTGAATGAGATAAAATTGGTCATGGGGGTTGGTCAAAAGAGAGCCACGTGACCAAGAGGCAACAGTGTTCCAAGGATCTGCCTTCTCCGATCACGAGGCTTTTTTCTAACCCTCCAAACTCAATCCATTCATCTCCGTATAACTCTGCCCCAAAGCCATTCTGCAATACTTGTCTCCGCACTCTTTCATCCCAGTAATAAACCCCCTCCATGTATATCAGTCATTATCCCCATTTTCAGTTCCCTCCCTTCTCACATTAGTTATAGTTAGTAAGCCGTAACGTACACACACATATATATGCATATGCACAGATATATAGCTGCTGTGTCTGTGTGTATATATCTGCTTTAAATACTACTCGATTATAAAAGGAAAACTAGGCAAGGCGCAAGGTTTTGATTTGTGTGTCGCGCACTTTTATGTGTGTGTGCTGTGTGGGGCATACATATCCAGTGACCGCACTGTATTTCTTCCCCTACACTTGCCACCCTTATTATTACTTGTTACGTTACATTGCAATTACAGAATCTGAAGGGGAGCGATTATAATGAGTATTTTGGCATCTGAGGGATCGTACCGTGGGGTCACGTGAAGCATACACAACAGGGCTCATCAGCTCGTCATGGACTGATGAAAACAAACCCTGGTGGTGCTTTATATGGTCCCAGTTGCTTGTTGGAATAGTATTAGCAGCAGGGAGAATTGTATGTATCGCAAGATCCGGCTGTGTGTGTCTGTGTGTGTATTTTATATATATATATATTGATATTTGGATCACAATAAGGAGAAAAAGCGAAAGACAGGGAGGAGGAAGATAAAGGCGGGTGCAATCATCAAAGCAACCCCTTATTCTTCTGTTTGTGTCTTCCACCTCCAGCATACAAACTCCATTGAAGTTCAAAAATTATTTTAAAAAAAAAAAACGTATCTAAAAATTTAAGAATTCCATTGGGGCGGGGTGGGGAGGGCGACCCCACAATCATGATGGCCAAAGCCAAACAAAGTACCATGGAATATTGACCCCATTCGATCGAAAGATTCAAAAACAGAGAGAGAGAGAGAGGGATTGAGAATCGGATCGTATAGAGATTGGTGAAGCAGAATTGGACAAAACGGGACGACCACCGCTTTCCAAAAGATGCTCCTCTCTCCATTGGCTTTGTAAAACTGCGATTCCCCCAAGACACTTGGCGCTACGCTTGATCATTCCCACACGCCACCTCCCTCTCCCCCTCCTTCTCTCCCAGGCCCCGGCACGTCCCCCTCACGCGCTTGCCGTGTGTGTGAAGCAACTGACGCCCTCATCCGGTCATTACCATTAGCCTGAATCTTCAATTCGCTTGAGTCTTGAGCTCAGCTCCATGCCCCGAATCCGATTTGCGTAATCATCCACCTTCGTGTTCCCCCCACTGCTAATTAACGCTCTTCCATGCAAAATCCTCTCCTTAATCATCATCTTACGTGGCTCCCAACTCCTATTCGGTGGGCCCCCCACCCCCCTCGTGTTCCTCTCTTTTCCTACCCAAGCTATGCCTATAGCGAATCTACCCCTTTTTCCCCCCCAAAAAAAAAAAAGAGACAAATGATACTAACATAAACAAAATCTCATCTGACCACTAAACCTCACATTTTTTCCCTGGAAGAAACAAAATCAGCGAGGACAGCCTCGAATTCTGGATGTGGGTAGACAGAATGTTAGCTTTTTACGCACATTCGCAATCCTTTGAATCGTTCCCTCTTAATTTAATTATGGGCCGACTTCATAAATTTTAAAATATCTACAGAGTATTCACTTTAAAAAAATATTCAAGTCAAAAGTATTCGTGCTGAACTAGCTAGTAGGATGTATGTATATATATAAGTTAATTTGTTTAGCTCACCAAAAATCTCCCGAGACGCTTAGTTTAAGGACGAAAGATGATAATAACATCAATCAAGTTGCCACGTGGGTGTCCTGGACGGATATGCGTCCCTGCATGCATGCAAATGTGTCGAATTATAAACATCGGCAGGACCCATATTTTAAATATACCGTGTTATGATTTGTGCCGTATGCAGATATTATATTATACATCATGATACGTACAGAATAATATAAAACAAACGGCACAATTATGAGTAAAATAAACTTCGGGAACACATGAAATTACATTCCTCAAAAGCAACAAGATACAACTGGAATGTCTGTCTTTCTCTCACTTTGGGGCTGGGGATATTTCCCCCTCCTCTTTTTTCTTTTTAATATAAATTCGATCTCCAGGAACGAGAGAGAGAGAGAGAGATGTTTGTGATGTGTATGGATAGATAGAGTAAGGTTTGAAAGTGGCAAAGAATGAGGAAGAAAAGAGAAGTAGTAAAACGAGGGAGAGTGGGCAGCAACATAAGAAAAAGGGGAATATATAAGGAGGAACAACTCATAAGGTAGCCGTCCTATATTTATATATAAAATATATATATATAGTTATATACAACACACACACACACAAAAATAAATATAAAAAAAGAAAGAAAGTCGAGTTTGTTGTCAGTATCAATAACACATCTGAGACGACACACTGTAATCTCTAATTGTCTCCTCCAAGGAGGTCTAACCTTTTTGGTCAAACACTCAAAGTTGGTCATATACCACTGTGCATTATGTGTCCTTCTTAAAAGAATTCCCTTTCGCTTTTCCATTCCTTCCGGTTTGTTCTTAACCCGTAGGATTATCCTTATAATCGCCATCGCATATATTCTCCCAAATTCGATCCCTTGCGTGCCATCCACTTTTTCTTTCTACCTAATGTTTTTCACGCCCATTCCTTCTTCCAAGCAACTAAGGGGGTGTTTGGATAGAAACCAAACCATGGTTTCAGAAGTGTTTTTACGGTTTACGAAGTAAATATGTGAAGGAATTTACCTTGTTTTGCGAAAAAATACTTCTGAAACCATAGTTTAGAGATTGCCAAACACCCCCTAAATCACTTGGCATGTATTATTAAATCAGAAAAAAAAAATATCATCATTTAAGACCACGCAGGTACAACGCAAATTAAAAATAAAATGTTCGATGTGCACAGTTTAAATCTGTTGTAAAGCGACAGTAACATTATGCTGCTGTTTTAGAGAATGGTAGGGTGGAAGATGCTAAATTCTAGGCATGCCATAGTTTAATGAAGGATTGAATAATAGTAAAACCGACTGGAGTACTGGACTACTGATCACTGACACACAAGTGTTCATATATATATATATATATATATATATATATTTGTTTGTTTATTCTTAATTAATTCGAAGATGGAGTCATATATATATATATGAACTTGGCGGAGAGGATCAATGGCTCAAATATATATTTAAGCAGACACACTTAATGTCTGCATTAGTAGCTTTTGAATATTGATAAAGTGAGTTTGGAAGTGTGAAAGTTTGAACGAAGTGGGACAGAGGCGATGGTAACATAGTGTTAATCCTGGGATGCGTTGTATAATGAACTTTCCGTAATAGCTCTGCCTTTTGATTGGCAACCTCCAATTAAATTTTTTTCCCCAGTTATGCAGTTCGTTGAACAAAAGGAATCTTGGTTTGAACCTCTTTTGTGGATGCTCCCAAAGCTCCCAATCTATTATTCTTTCTCTGTTTCTTTTAATTATCTATTGTTTATTGCTAACTATAAACCATACCAAGGTAGCTTTATTTTCTTTTTTTGGACGCCACCGATGCCTCCAAATCTAGACTGAAACTTGAGTTTTAGCAAATGTATTTGAGCATATAATAACATGCAAACTACTTTGTTTCGTTCATTTCTTTTATAAATTTTTAAATTAATCGAATTCTAAATATAGGAAGATAAACATAATTAATCTGGGTTAGAAATAAACTATGGTAATTATGTGATGCTTATAGTCCTGGCTCGATTGGTTTAATAAATTAAATATTTAATTGAGAGATCGATAAATACTCATTAATTAATTAGGCACCGCTTATTAGATCAAGAGATTAACATGATTGATTGGTAGCCAAATATTAAAATTTAAATTAGTCTCCCTACATGGACGAACCTTGATCCCTTGGTCTTGTCCTCATGTATTGATTTTTATCACTCATCTTAGCTTTATTTTTAATATTTGATTTACTCTTAATTTCTTCTGTCCAAAAAAAATATTTACTGTTACTTTCTTTTATAATTTTTATTAAAATTAATTATAATAGTAATTGACATATTTGCAGGATTGAGCTGATCACTTTTCGCGGCCTAGCTGTCTGCTATTCTTGCCAATGCTCCATAAACATTACTGTCCAAAAATTCTGCATTGTTGTTCACATAGATCCTGCGTTATTGTGCAAAGCTCCTCTGGATCTTTCTTACATGTTTTAATCTTTGTATTTATCTCCTTGGTATATTTTCTTTTTGATTAGGTCCAGTATTTGCGTGCTGGATTTCTCAATTATGGACACGTCACATTATTTTCATCAAAGTTCTTTTCTCCTCCAAAGATTTTAATTTTCATTCTTGTTTAAAATTTCATTGTATGTCTACATTTAGAAAAACTCACACTTGTTTGTTTGAAAGTTGAAAGTCAAGTTTTACTTATAAAATCTTTTGATTCCGGTTCAACTTATGTCTGCCCATTGAACTTTTGCAAGTGGAGCTGCAGAGGTTGACTGTGTGGGGTCTATGGTTCTTCACTTTAGTCTTCTAAACAAGTTCGGGTGGAGCCACCAAACCTTTTCCTAATCCCATTGCCCTTGAATAATACATACAAATAGCATAAAGCAATCTGTGCAACCTTAAATCCTTGTCAAATCTCAATGCAAGTCTCGTAATTTTTACTCACGTCATCAGGGCACTCACTTATCAACCATAAGTATTGTCTTCATTAATACGGAACAATCGAATCTTGTAGCTTTATGGATGAGTTATGTTCAAAATATTCTGCATGCACAACGTTCGCAACCAATGTGCTGAACTTGGAAGCCACTGGACAATATCTGGCTGTAGTAAATACAGATTACATCTTGAAGGGTCTGTTTGAGGCATTTGATAGATGGGTTCAGGGCCTATCCTCTGGAACTAATGCCTCTTATCGTCAGTCTCCTGTGAGGATTCAATTATAATTTGTAGATAAAGCATGAGGACCTGCTTAGAAATTGGCTAAATACTATAGTAATTATATCTTTGTTTTTCGTTTTGCTCTTTTTTTAAAAAAAATTTTATTAAGGAAGAGAACACTCAATAAAGTGATTATGAGAAAATTTCGATTAACAACTTATCCAAAAATTTGACCATTAATAGAGTGCAATAACGTCGTGCGATCTATGTAGCTGATCCCACCTAATAGGATTAAGGAAGAGAAGAACATGGCACATCTCATTCTCAGCAATTATCGGTCACTTCTCATTCAGTATCATGCTGTCCATATGGGGAGATGAATAGAAAACAGAAAATGTATTTCTATCAACACTTGCTAGCAGGTCTCAATGGCATTCTTGTTTGTATTGCGTTACAAGAATTTGCAGAGGTAAACACAAGTTGAAGCACAAAACGCGTGTGCCATAATAACTGCAGGGAGCACATGGCATTAATCAATTTATATTTGTAATACTGCAGCAAACTATAGAGCTTCCAATAGGAGTTTCTCCGTGAGAGCTTTAGGAAGACCCATGACAGTATCGGTTGATCCAACCTACCAAAGTTCCAGAGAAAACTTTCTTTCAGAAAGCTAAGCAATGAGGGATCAGCCCACATTTAGGAATGAGAAGGCAAAACAGACAGAAGAGGATATATAAACCCTGCAAATCTGGACATTTATATCCATAGATGTGTATATAAGAAGAGTAACGGTTAGTTGGTTAACGATTTAAATATTTTCTGGTTTCACAGATATGCAAGAACCAGAAATGGGGAAAGACGCGATTTGAAAAGTTCACTTAAGGGACCTAAGATGATAAAACTTATGTTGAGTGGCGACCTTGATGCTAATAATTTTCTAAGGTTCTATACTGCGCAAATAATGGAATATTTCAAAGATGACTAACCACTGCATCAACAAAAGGCAACGTCAGAGGATGTTCCAGCATCAAACCCCCGGCAACATTGAATGTAACTCCTTCGTCAATCTGAGAAGCTCCCATCAAGTAAGAAAACTTATACAGTATTTAGTGAGAAGAATTACCTGAAAGAAAGTATCAAAAGATCTTATATTCTGAGAAACTGATTAAAGTACTCTTTTCACCTTCATGCTTGTTTCAGTGCAGGAGTGAAAAGTGTACTCGTGAAAAGCTTACCACGGCATCGATGATCTCGTCTGGTATTTCAAGGAAATAAACCTGTCATGATAATAACAATTGCTACTGAAGCTGTCCGTGGAGAACAGAAAAATATTGATTCAATGACTCATATACGGACAGCAAATATAAATATCTTCTCTCTATTTCATTTTTATAGCTGTGTCAGATTTGTTGTTCTGTTTCTAGGCTGGTGAACTATTTATTTTTTCTAGCTACACTATACCCTCATTTAACAACCATATCTCTTTCTCATTACCTCTTCTTTCCACATATCATATGTCTTTTCCATTAATCTCAATACATAGTAATATTTTGCAGTATTTAAAGATTTCCTAATCTATGTGCCATAACCCTAAACAACAATAAATATGGAATGGAGATAGGGTTATGAATGGCAGGCATTTAAAATACTGAGGAAAGGAAGGGAATGGGGTGCATGGGGTGTCAGAGCTGCGTGTGAATAGAAGAACAATGACTTTACAGCATCAAAGAGACATGTTATAACTAGCACTCTAAAAGTTAGGAATTAATGAACTTCGGATGCATTTAAAAACCTAAAGGACATCCAAGATTATGATTTTCACTGTCTCAAATTACGACAGGCTTAGACGTATGCTCAATCAGCAGCAAGTATTACCTCAGCGCTTTCCCATCCCCCACATCTTTTTCCAGTCTTAAGGTTGGTTATCAGAACAGATCCTACCACTGCCGCATTACCACCAGAATATCCTGGAATTTAGCTTGCGAGAATGAGTGTGTAGCCAATTATGACATACAGTCCCAAGTAAGAAATGCATGAAATTCCACAGGCAAACCTTTGATATATTCCCTTGCTTGTTCCTTGCTGGTTGGTTTTTCCCTTATAGTTCCTTGGTATACCACTACCTACAGAACACGAGTAAAAGTGCGTATAATCTTGCAAAATGTTCGGTACAAAAAAGGCAATAATTTAAAGGTGAGGATACAGGATATAGACAGTAACACAGCAGTTCAAGCAATAGTATATTATAGAATGTTTTAAAAAAAAAAAAAAACTAAGGAAATGATGAACCAGAAAGATATTATGGAAATAAAAATAACAACTTAAAAAGGAAAAAGAAAAATCAAAACACAGCTGGCACTAGTTGCACAAAACATCAAAGTGAAATATGTACATTGAGATATAATGAACGAAGCTAGCATCATCAAAGTTCAATTATGGCACGCTCGTGAGAAAGGTTATCAAAGTTGTACTTGTTTTAGTCAATGGAGGCACCTCTGCGGGAATTTATGTTTTCTGCAGGTTCATGCTCTCTATTATTGTTCGCAAAATGAATAGTCTTGTAGGTTGATGAAGATAAAAGCGAAAAGTCCCAGAGCTAAGGACAATCTTCTAATCGAGAAAACCACTGACATTATTGCATATAAAATAATTAACGGAATGTGAACTAAGAAAAATTTCAGTCTCCAGGAGACAGATTTGGTATATAGAAGCGTCTTCTCAAATGATTTCCCTCACAAATGAGACATAATAGCCAAAAAGACTTTAAGTGAGAGAGTACAATTAAAGCCGTGCCTTTCTGCTATATGAATATATATAGCAGATATTCACTCAAAAAAAAATGCATAGCGGATAACTTTATTTTCTTGTCATAAATGCAGATGAAACCAAGTAAAGACAAAATAAAGATGCATACCGTATCTGCAGTAATTAAGAGTGTTGCCAGAGTATCTTCCTTTAACGAATTTTCCCCAGCTAGAAGCTTTTGTATAATAGCATCTGCCTAAGAATATAAAGGACGAAGATTGAATATTTCAGGCATTACTTGCAGCTTGGAACAATCACACCGTAGGAAGACTTGAAATTGCTTATGCACATCGACTACTTGTTATGCTTTTCTTTTCTTATAACTTTTAGAGGGTTTCTGGATGTAACCATGTAAAATGCTGTTGCTTATTCATATCCAAACAAATTGCATGCAAAACTTTATTTCTCGATTCTATGAAAAAATATTATTGCACATGAAACCGCTCTTGAGCCCCAGACATGCCGAGGGTGTTGCAGTTCTCTTTGGAAGAGAATTAAACGTAAACAGAGGGGGGGGGGGGGACTCATACCTTTGCCTCAGCTAAGGCTATTACCAAGTCTTCTGGTTTTTTCCTTCTAATACCTTTCTCATCAATGTCTGCAGTCTAAATTGTAATTCAAATAAATTCTTCAATTGTACATTGCCATCTACGACTCGCAACTTCACTTCAATAAACAACAAACTATACCACAACGGTGAACTCGTATCCCATCTCCGCTAGAATTTCTTTGCGAGCCTTAGATGAAGAACCCAGAATTATCTGTGACGAAGCAATTCGCATCAGTATTAGTAACCCATAGAGATGGCCAATCCAAACACAGAAAGTGCTCGCTTGTTATAAATAAGAGCTTATAGTTGCCCAAAATGGGGGAAAAAAAAAAAGGTTCGGGATTGTTTTATCAGAATAAATTCTCCGAAGTCTGTGGAAAATCACATTGCCTTCGGACACTAATCCTAGCATATGCAAAATAAAAGCCATTCGTTTTAATGAAGAAAACAGTGGGCCAAACCTTGAACGGCAGATTTCTCGTACCCATCTCTATTGTCCGCGCAAGCGTATGTTTCAGGCTCTTCCTCTTGAGCAGATTCCTAAAGAACAGGAAGATATCCAAAACGATTTTATTTTTATTTTAAAAAGGAAATAGAAATTAAGACACCAAACACGCTTGCGGCGCCTGCAGCTGAACATGGTGATAATCAGTCCCATAACGTAGGAAACAATTGATGGGCCGCGGCCCACGAGTGGGTGGGGTTCATAATGAAACCATTTGGTCCACATTGCTTTCGGCTTTTGTTTGGTAAGAGAATTAGTCCCTCACAGTATAGAAATCAAAGTTTAAATTTCTGTTAGAATAGATATCTATATTTAGTGACCCATAGTACCTCAAATAGAATTAACTCTGATAAAAAAATATTTGTGCTTGGGAAAAAACAGATTTACATGATTACCTGTGTCTAAGCCAAAAAGATGAAAAAAAATATTTCCGCGGTTACTGTTGATATAATTGTATGTGAAAGCGAGACCTCATCTTTTTATTGTTAAAAATTTCCCAATTTTTTTGTTTTCTGCGGTTGAAATTTACCCCGCATTAGCAAGCAATATATTGTCATGTATATTGTCATGTATATAATCTTTTGCATATCATATCAAATTTATAGAAAATTGCATTATTTAGAAGCTATAAATAGGACAGCTTGTTTCCGTTTATAATCTATGCTGTTAGAGTCATTTGAATCAAATGACACATAACAACTCCTTGAATTTTGCTTGAGCATAAAATTACGTGTTCGACCTTTTGTGAGCGGGATGGATGCTTAAATTCCTTATGTTGGTGAAGGATCACAACCAAAAAAAAAAAAATCTAATGATGACAATATTTCAATGTTGCTGAAGTTTATTGTCAAAAATTTGTCTGTAGATCTCTCTGAGTGACCTCATATTATTAGGTAAGTAGATTTATTGAGAGAAGTAAGTGCATTATGGTTGAGCTCTCAAAACTGGTGTTTCCTTTTAAATTTAAAAAAAAGAAAGAAGGGAAAGGTATATAGATTATAGGACTGCATCAAAAAGGTCTCTTGGTTCCATTAGGGAAAGAAACAAAGAAAGAAAATATTATATAGGAAGTGTGCTTATTCTTCCATCGGAAAAGTTTCTATTTCTTAGGAGTCTGCTCTGCCAAGGAAAGAAATCTGAAAATGGAAGCTTTTTTCGCTAGTATAACAAGTCCTTTTTAGAGATGAACACAGGACTTGCTTGAGGAATGCAATTTAATTAGGGTTAATTGCTGCTGAATAACTATCACTAACTATTACCGGAAGAAATTTACGCTGGCTAGTACGTATGCACCGAGTCTCTCTGTTGCGCTGGCCGGAGTTTATTGCATATTTTCAGGAGTTCGAATCAAGTAGAACGCCCATGAGTTTGGAGATATGTAACACTCAATTTGTGGAGGGAAAATAATGGCTCCACTTTATTCTCTGATTTCCGACAGAAAGTTCTCTACCCCCTCAATCATCTCCGAAGAGTTAGGAGGTTTCATAATTTTTCTGAATCCATCAAATGATGAGTCGAGTAGGTTTACCATTGGCATATTACTTCCTTTGAATCTGATATCATTTTATTTTAAGCCTTTGATTATCCACTAGTCCGGAGTGGCGATTCTTGAAGATTGTATTCTTCGCCAACGATTGGAAATATGATTTTGCTGGACTATGGTTACCATATTCATTCAAAATGTGGATTTTGGAATATGGTCACTTTAAGCTGATGTTACTTTTTCTCACATTTCCTTGCCATGCTGAGTGGAAATCGTGAAAGATATTTATTACATACACGGATACACCTAAAGAAAGATACATGCATGAAGGCCAATGCTTACAAGTAGTGAGTACTGACCACCCGAAAAACTATTCTCATCGCTTCTTATGAGGTCATTCTTCAATAACTTAGAGTTTCAAGTTCCTCAACCTGCAGATAATGTGCAAAGTAATGGGTGTTAGCAGACAGGTAAAATTCTGCACTGATTATTAAATTTGTTTTTCTTTCTATGATGGATCAAAGAGCACGTATTAAATCTTTCTAAATTATTCTCTGCTTTGGCTTAGCAACCCACATAACCAAATATTCTCAAGCTTTTCTTTCAACTTTGAGAACCAGAAAATGCACACAAAGAAAAGTGGTTTACATGAAACACTTATTGAAAGCAGAACTGTAAATGCTCCGAACATGCTTCATATGAATCAGGGTCGATGCTGCACCAACATTTTGTGCGGGAAACAAAGGCAACTGATTCTAGTAGCATGCACCTATTATTATAATTATTATGATTTGAACTTTAAGGGACTAGAAAAGACTGAGTAAATATGGTAATTAGTGAAAGCAGTGTGTTACCTCTGCTCTGAGCTGGTGAAGTTTGGTCTGCTACATGCGGCATGTCTGTTGTAGAGAGGGATTGGAACCCTGCCTGACTCAATCTGTTTGATGTCCTCCAAAAGAATCTCATACTGCCTCTTGACTTCAACTTCACTGGTGACACCAACATGTATGGCTATGTTGCGCCAACGATCAGGGCTTTCCTTATCATATATAGCCAACGCGTCCTCAAACAGTTTGTTCTTCTTGCCTGTCCATCTCTCACTGCAGTCTCCAGAAGATGAAACCTTGTTGGACGCCATTGAACCAGAATCAGGAGGAGGAGGTAGAACAGAAGAAAATCATGGATGAGGGATAGGAACAAACAAGTGAGGCCCTAGGAAACTAGAAATTACTACTACTGTAGGAAGAATCTTTTGAGAAATGGATAGCAAAGGGGGGGAAAAAAAAGAGAATAGGTAGTAGGGAAGAGTAGAGGGTAGGAGTATAGGAAGGTTGAAACTGTTAATATAGAGAGGAGGGGCAGAGGACACGAGAGAAGAGTTAATTGGTGAGCACATTCAAATTTAATTTGGCAAGTTTTCAACTTGTCCAGCAAACACTACGTGTCATTAATGCTATTTATGTGTAAAATAATTGAGCCGCTGTAAAGAGTAGATGGGATGGAACCAGATAGATCCTATTAGTTTCTCTGCAGAATTGCTTGCTTCCCTTTTAAGTCTTCTCTTATTACTTCTCTGCTATAAAATACAAGACTAGATTTAACTCCATTACAATTGTTACAAGTCATTGGCATGTGGCTATCCACTATCCAGAGACTACGCGCGTGTATTTGCTATTTGTTTCCTCTCAAGAGGCCACATACAAATGAATTTAGCTGCCTTTGTTGTTTTCCGAACTGAATCTTACAGCTTACAAACTGTGCAATTTATTATCTATTTTATATTTTATATTGAAATAATGGCTTGGAATATTTGAAATTGAATGGAATTATTCAAATATTAAAAAAATCAGTTTATTTTTATTTTCAATGAGTCAACACCAATTCTATGAATTTATTTAAATTTGGGAATTTGGGATTTAATATAATGTTATATCAACTTTTCATCAAACATCAAAGATAATACCATCTCTGGTCCTTAGGACAGGAGGTAGTGTTAATATTATCATATCATGTGCTTGATTAAAAATTTGAGGTTGAGTATTTACTATCAAATGTTTGCTTGGGATCTTTTTAAGAGGGTATATGTATATATGATTTTGGGTTTGAATAATGTAAAGAAAATATATGTAAATTCTGAAACTTTAAAAATACAAGCTTAGATGACAAGAAATAGTTAGAAAATATGAATAAATCCAGGTCAATGATGCACATAAATGAATGACTGCATTTATTTAGAAAGAAAATTGGATCAGTTTGAAGTTTCAAACCTATAATAAACACCTCATGGTTGCTGCATTTGAGGAGCTTCAATTTCTGCCGAGTTGGTTGGGAGTAGGAATAAATCCTGACCAAAGAACGTGTTATTATCCGGGTTCCAACTATAACTTGTCTGGGTGTGGCATATTTTTCTATTTGCAGATGAGATTGCTGAAGCTTCACTTTTCAGTTATCAAATAATGAGGCGATAAGCTTAGGACTAAAAGAAAAATTATGCTGATAGGCTAATAAGAGACAGAGGCCACCAACTTGTTATTTGCGAAGCTGGAAATTATTATCTACCTTAGAACAGCATTAGCGTATCATTTGTTAAATTTATCTTTAAGCCGCAGCTTTGCAGATTCTGAGACACAAAATTGCAGGAGCATTATGGGGATGCAATTATCTTCTACCTTTAGCATTAATAAATCCATTTCTTGGGGATCTAAAAGCACCCACCTGTCAGATTTCACACTGTTTTTTATGCGCAGACTCAACCGAAACAGCAGGCAAACAAAACGATTTCCAACAATGTGTTCTTCATCTGCTTTTGATTTAAAAACTGAACTCAAGCCTTAGATTATGAACTGACATGTGGGGTTGTGGGATTCTAGCTATGCGTCCCCAACTTTTCTATCCAGATCTACAAGCCAACCACTTAACGTATTTGTATTGTATGGTGAATATTTTATTAACAAGACAGAGATTGTAGCTATGTAGAAGCAAAAGATGATATTTTGCAGCGACTAAGCAATAATTGGTCTGATGATTTCCGGAAATTGGAAAGCAATAATTTGATTTAGCCAATAACTTTTTATCCCGAGAAGTGTGGGATCAGGATGAAAGAGAACTGATTTTAATCGGGGAAAAAGGGAGGAAAAATTAAAAGAAAGGTCCCACCGAGATTTGAACTCGGGTTACTGGATTCAGAGTCCAATGTCCTGACCACTAGACCATGGGACCGTTGTTGTTATGCTGACATTAGAATACCTTTAAGCTATGAATGAGAAAAAAGTTCAAAGATAAACAAATAACTTATCGCAAGTTACTGGCCCACGTCGATCTGGATAAAATGGCAAATCACGTGACCTTGATTCAATAAAACCAACTTGGAAATGATGCCTCCTCCGAGAGGCGATGAAAAGCTCGAATCCACCACAGCCCCTTTGGAAAGGATTGTGTTTTTGGTGTATTTGATCATGTTCCATCACCTTTTTTTTTTTTTTTCATACATAGTTATTCTTTTATTAGAGACAATCCTATTTAAAATAATATTGGATAGTAAATATAAATACTTCTTTCAGTAAGAATTCAAGCCTTAAATCATTACATTATAAAAAACTAACCTTTTTAATTAGACCTAGCCTCGTTGATCGTTCCATCACTTTTATGTTACCGTTTGAATTCAATCCACAAACCAACATTAGGCACCAGCAGGGATATGTTTCTTCAGAGTTTTGCAGAAGGCAAGAGTACAGAGAGCAATGCAATAGAAGAATACATGTGATATTTTCAAAAAAAAAAAAAACAGACAATGAAACAATGATCTTCTCCTTAAATTGATGTAATAAAAAAGTAAAAGGGAAGAAAACAGAACAAAAGAGGATGAAATAATTATCTTCTGCTTAATTAAAAAATAATAATAAAGTAATTTTTTTCTCAATAGCTAAAAATAAGATCACACTAGATATGGAGCACATTCCGATTCCTGTATATAGGAACTACAGTACAGTTTATTGTGTAAAAAATAACTTTATCGCAATTTATCATCATACCATGTATGCTCAATTTAACATTAGAGTGATGACCTTAAAGATCAAAACATGCCACGAGACGAAACCCTCAAATCAAATGACACCTGGTACATTGGCCAAACGAAATGACCCCTGATACCAATCTTCGCCAACAAGTAATCATACTCAATATCTTGTACAGCAGACATAGTTATAAAATATCTTATGCTACAAGAGAGAAGGATTAATCTGGGTGAAAAATACTGTAAAATGTACAGTCCTGAAAGAAACAATAGTGAAATTCAATTCTCGCAGGTATTATTTTTCCTCTTCTGTCCGTCCTCAATCTGGCAAGCAATTACAGAGATAAAAATGACAGGTTAAGTGGAATTTTAGAAGGTTCATCACACCAATTCAATCAAAATAGCTCCAGATATAAACTTTCGCATTTGGATGGATTTTATTCTGTCCCTCAGCGTAGAGGGTTTTACTTCAGATTCAGAATATCCAAAATAAATGTCATCGACTCTCCCGACAAAAAGTGCAGCCCCGTCCTTCATAACACTTGGAACGTATCAATATAATCTTAACTGATTTTAGACTACCGCGTCCTCCAACCAGAAACAGATTTTGGGACCAGGTTGATAGCATTGGAGGCCGCCTCTAGCCTGCATCACAAAACATGCACAGATATAAAAGTGTATGCACACAGAAAATATGCATTAACTTCAACTTGAAAACCTCGCAAGTTAAGAGATACGAGGAGAGGGAGGAAAAACCCAAATCCCTGGGGGGCGGGGGGCGGTTTGGGTGTGGGGTGGGGACCTTGACAATTCTTCGATAGCCTTCATAACCTCAGTTGAACTTGTTTCCAAAACCTGGCCTCCAAAGATAATCTCATCCAGAATAGAATGCATCTGCGAGTAACATCAAATAAAGGGAAAGTTTGAGTTGCACTTATTAATAGGCTTGAAGCCATTATTACTATAGGCATGGCTTGTAATATTGAGCATAACAGCACTTCCGATTCTACAAGGACACAATACTAGCTAAGCATGAAAGTCGTCAACTTACCAAACAAAGAGAGAAATTTTGAATAAATTTTTGAAAATACGCTTAACGATGAAGAATCTAATAAATCTGCCCGAGCAGAACATATATCTAGCCTATAGTGAATCATATATTATAGTTTATTATGTGTAGCATTTTCAACCAAGGCATGTTTTGAACTGTGTGTTTAAACCAATAACATAATACAAAGATTGTCCAGAAATATATAGAAGAGAAAGTCTCCAACCTTGCTATAGTTGAACACTACGTCAAGTTCACAAACATTTCTGAAGCATTTGTCCAGTGTTTCAACAAAGACTGTAGGCAGAAAGATCATAGTAAGAAAATCTCACAAACAATTAAGCAGTCCAAGAGCAGTAAAGAACAGCAGCACGAGGTCACTGTTACATAAAGCTCATGAAGAATGTAGAAGAAAATACATGGAACATGTATGTACTGCACCCAGAATATCCTCATTATCAAGAGCAAAAGGACTCAAATGGCAGAAGAATTCTTTAATTAAAGTGTCGAGCTATATCATCACATCATCTATCACCAGTTCATCACCACTAACTACAATTATCTGAAAGAAATTACGTAGCCAAGAAAGAGATTTTCATTATCATCAAAATCACATTCAGATGATGAAATACCAATTCACTATTCCCCATTTGTACACACTAGTTTTTCATAGCAAGTATCTTCAAAATTTAAAGCACTCTACAGAACATATGCTCAGTGCAGCTCTAACTCAGTTTATGCGGATCAGAAGCAATGAGTGCTTTCCCAATGTTCAAAAGGAAATGTATTACATGATTCAACCAACTCACCTCAATGTAAGCAAAGAAAAAGACAATAATCGAAACTTTTAATTTATATTTCATATTAAACATTATAGAAGATGATTAGAACTTTTTACTATTTGGACCAAAGGGAGATTTGGGAGGCCATTGTCTAACTTGATCACCACATATTTTTGTCCACATTCCAGTCACTTGAACAGTTCTCACCTCATGTATTTCAAATTTCCCCCTCGCAACAGTATAATAAAATTACACCATTTTTTGTACTCCAAAGGTCATATGGTTACTTTAAGACACATATGTGACATGAGGACATCACTTCACGGACCAGACCATGTAATACTATTGGACCCCACATCCTGTAGCAGCAGACCTCCTCAACCAATAAACATTCCAGATTGAAACAATTGGGGGAAAATATCAAGTAATAGTTATTTCCGGTAAGAAACCTACCTTGTATTAAGTCAAGCATAGCCAGCTCATTTTCAGAACTATCAAATATGAACACAAAGTACAAAGTTGCATAGTGCTTGTAGACAAGGCGAGCATCCTGAAGGAAAAAGAAACAGATGATTTCCCGGACACAGATATGTTTGCATTGTGGTTGATGCTCAAATGCTAGACATTGTCATAAAGAGCAGAGCACAAACAATCAATAATGTCAGCACAGCAGGATATCAGATTAATTTAGCTCTAGTTTATGTTAGATGCAAAAAAAACAAATTGCATTATAGACTATGGTTTCCCTCGAAGGTGCTTTTTCTGTGAAATCACTTTTAAGACCATAATTTAGTTTTCACCCAAACACCCCCTAAATGAACCTAACATTGAGGATTCCATTCTCAGTAATGCATACAAAAACGCGTTGCAGCAGTAGAGCAGTACTACTTACTTGGAAGTTTTAACAACAGAAAAACAAGTTCATGCTGAACCATCCTTCTTCTTTTTAACTACTCCTAGTATATGATACCATTAAATAGGGAAGAAGAGAGCGAATTAGTGAGTAGAACGTTAAAAGAAGATAATACCTGACCGAAGATGGACTCAGCATCCACGAAACTGCTAACATTTTCAGCTCTACTGCATAGGACTGTACCAACAATCAACAATAAATAAAAACCAAAACAGAAATTTGAAAGAAACAAACTTGTAAAACCATAAGAGGTAGGATATCGACAATCAAGACAATATAACATCTTCGTTCAAGCATTGTGATCAAGTAGAAGAATTAAAATAAACTGCATTGATTCATAAGACCAGAGAGAAAGATGGAGACAGAGAGAGACCTGAGAACACATTACGTATTAGTTCCTGCTGCTTCTCCACAGGCTGACCTAACACAATAAAATTAAGTCTAATCATATCGTTAACAATCACAGGAACTCGGCGAGGGAGAAAAATTGAACTCTAAAAGTGGATGGTATAGGGGAAGGACCCGAAATTCATAAAATTTTGCAAGACGGGGCTTCCCCTGCGTGTTCATGACCAATACGGCTTTTATCATCTTGCTTCTTCCTGGGAGAAAAAGAGGTTTCCACTCATCAGAGGATACAATGATTGTTGTCACGAGATAACACAGTTTCGCCTCACAGGACAGAAGTTCAAACGAAAGATAACTATAACAACAACAAAAAAATTGTCTCTGACTTGCCAGTTACAGTACTGCGCGGCAAGAAAATGTGGGGAAATAGAACTCATAGGCCACGAAACAGCAAAGAGGTTGAAAGACAACTAAGATCAACTGCAAAGCTGGATGAAACAGGTATATCCGGCCAGAGACCAACAAAAAAGCACCTCAGTGACTGATCCCCCGTGATGGCGTCCACGATGACTCTCCGATCAAATCGATCACCCAGGGAGACAGGGCGACGTGTTTTACCGGGGAAGAACAAGAACTGGGCTTGGAGTAAATTCTGATAGACCCCAGACAAAAACAAAAGGCCCAGTAGCACAGCGGGAGTCGAGTCGAATGGGCTCCACACACAACCGAGAAACCTAATATCAAATTCAAGTCCGCACTCACTGAAATTTTGTTTGGGGCACAAAATCCTGACATGACATGTGACCCAGGCACGTGTTGGAGTATTGGATTTCCAAAATTGGTCCCGGCGGGGCTCGAACCCGCGACCTTCGGCTCATAAGACCAACGCTCTAACCAACTGAGCTACGGGACCTCTACGGGTAACGTGATTGTTTGATATTATTTAAATACTCTATCAGTTAACTCCAAGTTTACTTTTCTTGCTCAATTCATAATTTGTGTGTTTGTGTTCATTTGTTTTCTATAACTGAAATCCCCTGTTGTTTTTTTTTTTTTTTATAAAGTCATGTTATAAATTCATCGCAATGAATGTTAACTTGTAAAAAAAAAAAAAGGCGGCTTATGCATTAATACAACGTTACTATTAAATAATTTTAAAAGGCAAAATAAAATGCATAAACATCATTTCAAGAGTGTAATTAGAATTTAGGCTTCTAAGGAATAAAGATATTTATGCTGATAAGAGTCACATAGGAAATCCGTACAAGTTCAGTAATACTAGGAGGGTAATTTTGAAAGGATATCAGGTAGAGGTGAGTGCAAGCTGAGAATAATACACAAGTTTACAGTAATAAATGCCTCAGGTTTCCAGTTAGCAATCAACAGAAACAAACTGGTGCTTCTTCACCTTATTAATAATCAACATGGTACTCTCTCAAGTGCTCACTGGTTCCGGCACTACCTCTGTACTAGAATGGTCATTCTTAGTGCGGAATGGGTTGTCATCAACTCCCCAGAATTTAGCAGTTTTTACATCATCTTCTATCATCATCCTTGAAAATTCTTCATGATCATACTTCAATGTTGCTTTTCCTCCAAACTCGTTGGGGAGATTTTCCACATCAAACAGTGATTTCATCATCTCTTCGCTCTCCTTGTCCTTGGGATAAACAAACTTTACCTTCTGGGACGTCTTGGGATCCAAGAAGTATCTCACAGCCTACCATAATGCAAAAACATGTTGCTCGTAATTCTCATATAATTCACATCTTACCAGGAAAAAAAAAAAACGAAGAACAAAGAACAAACCTTCCAAAAAGCTTGAAATATCCTTGGTGGGCTATAGAGAAAAGCAATACCAAGCCTTTCAGGATAGTGATTTTGTAAGATGTAAATGATATCACGAGCTGTTTTGACAGAGACATTAGTGTTGAGTGAAAATCCAGTGAAGTCTATCAGCCATGACATCTGCTCTTGACTTGCCGGGAGATTGAGGATAGCATTTTCCATGAGGTACACTAGATGCCTGATATTATCTTCTGGGCACGCTGTGTTCTAACAGATTAATTAATTAAAACCACGAGGAAACAAGTGGTTAGGTCAGGTGTTATAATCTCAATCAATCGAAGTGACTACTGATGGTATAGGTAGGTGAAACCAAACCTGCATTCCTGGCCTCATTATAAGCACAGTTCTTCCAGAACGATCGTGAAAATTCGCTCTTGAAACTTTTCCTGTCTCGCCCTCATGTGCCACTTCAGGCTGAGAGAAAAGTAACAGGAAATGAGTTTTATGCACAAATCTGAACATGAGAATTAGCAGAAAAGGGATGGCATTATACCCAACGGATTTCCTCAGGCTTATAAGTGGATCTCCATTTGAGTGTTTCTCCCAACATTTTCTTGGCTTTCTCAAGGTTCCAGTTTCTGGCTTCTAAGTATCTCCTTAGACATGCGTCCGTGCAATACTTTAGACTTCGCCCGGATAGTGGCCCCAGAGCAGCCCTCAGTTCAGCCACCTGATGATAACGTAGCACATGTCGTTTACCAACTTCATCATTTTTATTTTTTTTAAATGTGGGTTAAACAATTTATCCAGTTATACTGTAAATAATTTTTTACTTTTAAAAAATTAATGAATTTTCAAATATTTTAAATTAGTGCGAATAACTTCTGGTTAACAATTAATATGTTGTTTCATTAAGCATGATATATTACGGTGCTTTTTATATACATGACCTTTATTTAATTACTAATATCATATACCATATTTCGCTAGAATAATAACGGATTAACGAATGTCAATGAAATCATCCGTGAAAATTTCGATCTAAGAAAAAGATTATCTACTCTGCTGTCTATTTCTTTTCAACAACAATCTCTGCTATTTAACCTTCAACTTAGCCCTCAATGTTACAAAACTTATCATGTCCATCTTTATTTTGTCCAACGAACTGCTCAAATTTTCTGGGATTACATTTTCTCGACCTCCTTTGACAACCAGACAAGCAAACATATCTTTTTTCCTTCCATATTCAGGAACAATTCACACACACACACAAATTTGTACCCGGATAAATGTAAAATAATTGTTTTAAAAAAGAGAGAAAGAACAGATAAAGAAGTGATCGAGTATATATAAGGTTTGTTTTGGTAAATTTCCGTCCCTTCGCAAGTATTAATGAAAGTAATCAAAGAAACAAAAAAAAATGTCTCTTATCCTCAGAGCCAAGAGAATCAGGGAGTGAAGATGTAATAATTAACTCAAAACTAGGAAACTATATACGATGGAAAATCGAGGCATTTATAAAGGTTTCAAAGAAACATCAACCAGCCATACCTTTGCATCTTTGTACGATGGATCATTCTCCACTTGATTCTGGGTTTGCTTTCTAAGGCGGAACATGTTGGATTTCAATTGCAATTCAGTTCAACCTGCACATCATAATTCTCCATACTTAATATCCAACCCACCGCAGAATATTGGAATTCATCTGTACTCTGACAGAAATGTCCCACATATTCATTGCTCGACAGTACGTTATCAACAAAGAAGGAGAGGGGCTAGAGAGAAGAGGTAGCTGATTCCTGGACATTCCATCCTAAGATGACAAAAATTCAAAGTGCCAGATTTCTAGAACCAAAACCAAACATTGAAAAGATCAAAACTTGGATCTAACAGCCCATATCCTTACTGGTTTTGGTAGTTTTCAAAGCCTTGGTATACAGGAAAGTCAACCTTTGAAACTTCAAATTTTCTTTTCCAAACCCATCGTGACACTTACAACCAGCTAGGAACTTTGGAGTTTCAGACGCAGCCGTTGACTTTCTCGGAAAGAGAAATTATTCTGCCAATTTCGTTCACACCGTCAGTGAAATCTAAATGATAAGCATTTCGAAACTCAAATGTCTCTTAAGTTAGATAGCTTATGCAGAGAATTCCGGAACTGAAGCCAAAAGAAGGCATCAAATCCCAGGATATCGCTAAGCATTTCGAATGAATCGTAGAGAACACAAAGACAGACAAAAAGCTGATGAAAAAGGAAAGAGAATACATGAAAAGTGAGAACGAATATGATTCCCATACAAAATACGCAGTGTTGTGAGGAGAATATGAAAATATAGAACAGGAAAAAGAAATCTGAGCGACCCAATAGAGAAAATGGAGAACCAAATATGCAGGCAGGAAGAAAGAATTCGCAACGACCGTAACGAAAGTGGGGTGATGCAGGATTATCAGTTTGTGTGTTGTGAGGGAAGAATAGGAACAGAGTTACCTGAGAGGCTGAGAGAAGAACTGCCGCAATTAACAAAACCTCTGTTTTTTTAAAGCTTTTAAAGAACAGGGGAATCTTAGAGTGTGCGCCAGTTTCCCATTCAGTAGTAACCCTGTTAAAGTCCTCAGTTAAGTCATGGCAATTCATTTTCCCATATATATATATATATATATATATATATAATTTAAAGTTCTGACCGTATTTCTCCTAAAGTATTACTGTGCTGTGCCACGAGGATGAAGGTTGTGTTGCTCTGCGGGTTCTTTTCATTACGTTATGGTTCTTGACTTCTTGCCCAGCCTGTCGCTTCCTCCTTTAATTTAGGATTAGAGGGAATTTTTGGCCATTAAGTATGTTTAACCTAGTTGGAAGGCAAAATTGAAGTAGGGGCCAACTGGTTTATTTAAGAGGAGCTCTCAGCACTCAAACAAATCTTGTAGAATCAGAAAAACTACCTTCAGACCAATCTTCAAACACGCTAGCAATTAAAGTGCATTGTGACTTTCCTGTTTATAACTGTTGTGTGAACCATTATCACCTCAGACTCCAAGAACAAACTCGATGAAATCAAATGCTTGTTCGTCTTCATCCATGTCCTCTTGCATTTTTCTTCAAGTCTCTGTCCTTATTTTATTGCACTCACTTCCAGTATATATTCAAAAGAATTGTGGTAAAGACTTTTGGGACCTACAAATTATCTAATTGGGGAATACTCATTTCTGGCATGTCACATTCTTCTTATAGCCATGGGCTGGGGCCTTTCATTGGATCATTTCTCCACATCCAGGGAATAATTACCATCGTAAATTGATAAACTACAAGGAAAAGTGATGCTTTGATCTCATAATTTTGAGTTCATTAAAACTCAAGTCTTATAATTTTGACATAGTTAAAACTTAATTTCTAAATTTTGAGCCAATATAACTCTTGACATAGTTAAAACTTAATTTCTAAATTTTGAGCCAATATAACTCAGTCTCCAATCTCCGTAGTTTTAAATAATTTCAAATACTACTCCATTTATTTTGAAAAGTAAAATTACATATATTTTTTGAATTTAGAGATTTCAAGCCGTAGGTTGGCCTAAAAAAATTCAAACGGTGGGAATGGTAAGTTGGGATTTAAGAATAGGTTTTAACTGAGTTAAGACTAGTTTAAATTTAGAAATTGAGTTAAAACTATAGTGGCAAAATGATTTTTTTTCCCTAAATTATATGTACACCATTATATGAATTCTGTCAGACTTAAAATTTTTAAAATATTTATATTTTAAACTGATCCTATTTTCTTTTTTGAATAATGCAATTTTAATAAGTAATTAAAGTTGTGCTGAATTATAAAAAAAATTCTTCTTTTCGTAAAAATATGTGCATGCAATTATATGATAATAGTCCTTTTGGCGCACACGAAAACGTGGTATATAATACGTAATACTACTTCCGGTCTTAATTATAAGATCTAGTTGACTAATTTGAAGAGATTAAGGAAATAAATTAAGTTAGTTATTTGTAATAAATAGGTATTATTTTTTCTAAAATGTCCTTGCTAATCAACTATATTGGCCAAGACTACCATTATTAGAAGGACTACCTTAAAAAAAAAATATATAAGAGACAAAATGGATTGGGATTTTATATTTAAGACCAAAATAAAAAAAATTCTTATATTAAGAATAGGAAGTGGAGTTAGTATATTGCTTAAGCACTAGTGTGAGTCATGCGAGTACTATACATAGATTAAGGCTTTTATTTTGCATTTTTACCCCAATTGAGCGATATTTGTGGTGTATGTTATCACTGCTTGTATCATAAGCTTGTGATTTGTTTTTTGATGCAACAAGTATTAGAAAACAGTTTCTTTAAGCACCCCCCCTAAATGTGAGATTATGAATTTGAAATTTTTATTAAAAAAAATGAGACATTGAATTGTGACAAAAATATTTAATATTATCTTCATGGTGGCCGTGCCAGCCTTGAAATTGAAAAATGTGGGCCTCGTGAACAACGTGATGGGCGAAACCAAATAACATAGGGATTGTACATCTGTACCCGGCTTTTAAAAAATAAAATAAAATTAGAAATGTACTTTTGTTACCACTTATAACAAATAACAAAAATGATCAAAGAGAATATGTACGAAAATATAATAAAATTTATTATTTTAGAAAAAAAATTTTGGTTCTTTTCATAAATCTCTATGATAGTTACAATGACCGTATAATATTTTTTTTTGTGTTTGTTCATATTTAATACTCCTCCGGTTCTAATTATAAGACCCAATTGACTTATTTGAGGAGATTAAGGAAGTAAGTTAAGTTGGTTATTTATAATAAATAAGTGTTGTTATTCCTAAAATATTCTTTCTAATTAAGTATATTGGCTAAAACTATCATTATTAGAAGGATTATCTTGGAAAAAAATGCATAAATATAAGAGAGAAAATGGATTGGGTCTTATAATTAGGACCAAATAAAAAGTCAAATTGGGTCTTATAATAAGGACCGGAGGAGTATTTAATAAAGGTAATAAGAAAGTAGAAATTAATATGATATTAGAATTCAATGTATTTAATATGAGTAATATTACAAATTACTTGAATTTTGTGATTTAATTGTTTTTATTAGTAATACTCTCTCACATCCTTTTTTATACGATCATTTTAATTAAACTATACAGTTAAAATAAGTTTAAAAACAGTAAATATGTGAAAATTGAACTTTATTTTTTTCCAAGTACGTCATTACTTAATAAGAAAACAAATAAAATAAAAGAGAGAAATCCTAGTAATAAGGTGAAGTATAAAAGATAAGAAAAAAATGATGAGAGAGAACTGAAAATTATTTATGAACAAAGTTGATAAAAGTACATTTAATATTCACACACTCATAAACACGATCTGAGAGCCAAATTAATTCAAATTTAATTTGTATCTTATCCACCATATCTTAATTAGGCAGTAGATCAGTTGTCCCACTCCCACCTCCATCAGTTTTGCTTTTGGATGTTCAGAAAGAAGGTAACCCATAATTTCTATTGCCCCTTCTCTCTCTTGTTCTTCGAAGATTTCGATTGAGGCCTGCGACTGTTAGGGCCGGGCTCATTCATTTAATATATTTCTTTTTGGTAAGTGACTCTATCTTAATGATTTCGCACACACTGTAATTAGAAACATGATGGCTTCTTTTAAACAGGTAAGGAAAAGGGGAAAACATGGAACCTTGTCTCCCTCAAGTTTTGTGTTTCCATTTTCCTCCCATACCAAAGGTGAGCTAGCAATTAAGATCAATCAAGAGGAAAGGATACCCGATTCCCGCCCACAGTTTTCTACTATTTTAATTATTTCTCCCCTCTAACTCTATTTATAAGTTTTAAATTCAAGAAGGAGTATAATTTATTTTATAAATTTTAATTTTAATTTATTGTAATTTTAATGTATTTTTTAATGTGGTTATTAATTATTTTTCTCTTATCATGTTTCCCAACACATTCTCTTTTATGATTTTTTTCATTTATTATAAGGATATATTTGCAAACAAAAATATTTTTTAATATATTTATTATTTTTAATTAATTTTAACTGAGATCCCACCAGCGAATGACACTCCAATTAAACATTTTTTTTATAACTAAATCTGACTAATAGCACCCTCACCGCTTACATTGTGTTAATTACTCCCTCCGTTCCTTATTATAAGAGACAAATAACCAAATTACGTTGATAAAAAAAACAGCTAAAATTAGTTGAGGACAATTAATGTGTAAAAAGTATAATGTTTTTTCCAACAATGTCCCTATTAATAAGGAGAGAGAGTATGAGAGAGAACAATTAAATTATTAAAAGAAAGAGAAGTGGGAGGGAGAGAGAATATGAGTTGGAGACAAAATAAATAGGGTAAAATAGAAAATCAATACAAAAAACTAAAGACAACTTTTAAATGTCTCTTATATATGGGAACATGCTATAAGCATCAAATGTCTCTTATAATAAGGAACGGAGGGAGTAATAACTATGGGGAATTGGCATTTAATTGGCGTCTCGCGTTTTGCCACACGTATCTTAAACACACCTTCTTCTTTTTTTTCAGATTTACATTTTTAAAATAAATGTCAAAATTTTTTTTATAAGAATGCTCAAGTGCCTGTTAAAATACTTCTTTGCCACATGCCAGTGACGGATCGAGAGGGCAACTAATGATGATGAGGGGTCCAAACGAAAGAATTCATGGAAAAAAGTTTTCCCGATTATAAATGAACAAAATTTATGAACAAATTCATATCCCTTGCTACCTCATACGCTCATGGTAACTTTAATAGAAATGAAAAAGAATAATCCGTTACTCACAAATGAAATAACAATCATATGTAAAATACTCATTTATTACTACGAACTTATTTGATGCGTTTTTTATATTTTAATAATATAAAATACATTTTATATATTAAAAATTTCTTCCTTTTTTTTTTTTAAATCTCAGTCCTCTTTCCGGTTTCCACTCTATTCCATGTGTTATAAATCGAGCATATAGAGAAAAAAATATGAATATTATTAGCTTGTATTTATAGTTTTTTTTTTGCCATATTTATAGCGTTCCAGACTCTTATTTTTCATAATATTCAATGTTAAAATTTAAAAATATTTAAAATATCTATACCTATGCAATAACTAAGAA